TGGATGACACATAACACGTTTTTACCTTTTAATTTATTCACTACCACATTTCCACACTAAAATGAATCTACATCACTTGTGGCTACAAGCAACTTGTCATCTTTATTATTTCACTTTATAGCAACTTATTTAGATCTAGATCAACTTATCTAAATTACCCCCCATATATTACTGGTAACCTACACTGCAGCCAACGGCACACAACAGCTAAAGGAAATATGGCATCCTGGCAGGAAACTGTTAATGGAGGTTACCCTGACAAGATTGTAGTGTTGATATAATGCCTTTTTATATCCACATGTGCTATTTTAACCTTAAGGGTATCAACACTGGCATTTCTACTTGAAGTTGTGTATGGAGAGCAGTTTAGGTATCATGTTTTTTGTTTTTAAAGTTCAGTTCTGTTACTGTAGGAAAACAAGGCCATCACATCCAGGACCCAAGGGCATCCTCTATCTGTTTCTAATCCAAGCTAACTGTTTCCCAAGTTCAGGGGCTAGATCCTCTGAAGGACCAGGCCCATAAAGTTGTGTAACCTCAGAGGAAGGGTTCAACTTTTTGGTATATGGGTTTCAAGGACTTTCAAGGAACTTCTTAATTGTGGAAGTAGAAGTCACATACATTTTTCCCATAGACAATGTTACATGACTCACAGCTAGAGCCGTTCTAAAGCTTGGATGGACCTGCAATTTGTACAGCAAATTTGTTACAAAATGTATTATTTGATAAAAAATTTAAGGTACAAGCCTACTGAATTCCAGAATTATGGTGGTATATTCAAAGATGAAGCATTTTCAATGTGCTAGCACTCTGACTGGCTTCTTCTCCATAGCAATGCTGATCCAGTTTCATGGGTATTGTAAGCATATTTGATTTATTTGGCCTAGAAATGTGGTCTTTGGAGGATCCAGCCTCTTGAATGGGACGCAGGCTATTTTGATCCACTGTGTCAGACTGTGAGGAATCTCTAACTTAAGGGCCTCTGGGAAATAAATTGAGCAGGAACTATATAAAATAAATTTTGGGACGGTTGCGGGAATTGAATCAATAAATTATTATTGCCATGCATCACTTAATTATCAATGTAATCTGTCATTTTATAATTGGTACGGCCAGCATTTAAGGTTTAAATGATAGTTTGGCACAGTTTAGAACATCTGACAAAGTGACATGTTGTAAACAGACATCTAAGGCGGTGTTGCGGAAAGTGCTTGCATTACAGAAACTGTTGGGAAATGGATGGGCCTCACTAACTGAACACATTTGTGTAATGTGTTTCACTATGACAAAATGACAGAGAGGAACAAGTGTCCTTTTCTTTCTGTTTGCATTTAGTTAATTGGTAGCTGGGTGTGTTGGCTTATGTGTCCGCTCAATCAAGCGAACTTTGTCCATCTGTTTGTGGGACAGAGGTTGCAACACAGACTGAAGACGGATCACAGGTCCAAGGTTGTGACAACATGAACATCAACAGAACAGCTAACTGCTTGATAAACGTGTTTTTATTGTCTACCCCATGTTATGTTGACAATGAAAGAAATAAGGATATTTTACTGTAGCTTTTATTGTCACTGTAGATTGATAACAATGCCTAGTATAACCTTTAACCTAGTTTGGGTATGAAAACAGTGTGAATACAAAGCAGAGTCATGCTACAACAATGTACGATATGTACTAGAAAACACCTCACAATAAAGGTTAAACTGGAAAAAAATCCCAGTGAAGTGGGAAGAAACAATAGCAGTGATTTGGTCGAAATCAAACTGTGGTCAAATGCAGCCCACAGAGCTACATCCCTGATATGAGTCAGAAAACATGCAGATTCCAGTCATGATTCACTGAAAAGACAAACGTGAGGCAACAGCGAAAGAATTTACTTTCACCTGCTGTTCTTCTTAACAGTTCACACTGTACAACATGACATGCAAGAGTGGAGCAACTCTAAACCCTCGACATGAAAATAAACACCCCCACACGGACCAGGCTTGGCTCCCCTGCAATACAAATCATTCAAGAGATTTTGTCGATTCAATTCATGAAAAACATGTCATCTCTTGGGATCAACATTATTTGTTATTAATAATTTTATTGATATACACATATTTTTGTTTTTTGCAAGTTATTAGAACCAAGATGACATCTTCAAATTGCTTGATTATTATTATTTTTTTCCAATCAACAGTCCAAAACCTAAAGATTACATTTGATATTGGGGCGCTCGGTTAGCTCACCTGGTAGAGCTGGCGCCCCATGTACCGAGTTTGAATCCGAGCTTTGGTCCTTTGCTGCATTTCCTCGCCTCTCTCAACCCCCCTTCCTGTCTATCTTCAGATCTCCTATCCAATAAAGGGGAAAAGCCCCAAAAGCAATATTTTAAAAAAATTAATACATACATGATATTGGGGCTGCTGCTGTTTTTGAATAACTAAGCCCAAAACCTACTGATTGATCAGTCCAAACTGAACGTTGAAGAGTAGTGTAAAGCTCATCCACATAGATCTACAGCTCTGTTCATGCTTAGAATAATTCTAGGTAATATTTTAACCCATTTATTGGTTCTTCACTAGGATTCAGTTTGCTCGGTCTGACATTGAATTTGGTCTCGACCCCAACTTGAATTTAGTTTTGGATCTGATTTCAACGCAACAAAGTTTGGCCAATCTCTCAAAACTACTTAAAAGAGTTTTAAAATATAGTGTGGATGTACTCTTTAGCACTGAGATGACAAGTTAAAAGATCATCTTAAACTACACCCCTTAAATACCAGGACTTTTTAGTCTAAGGAACTATGTTTCAAGGAACTAAAATGTCCCTTCAGCCCGTTATTGTCCACGTTTCCATTGTGGTCTTAAGACCTACAAAGGTTGTGCAAATTAGTCAACTGCCGTATAAAAATGCGACTGTTTTTGCATGGCATTTTTGCACTCAACTATACAAAAATTATGTTGTCATATGCTTTTTTTCTGTAACTCTATGTTGACGTGTCGAAGAAAAAAAAAGGTTTGCAGCTGCAGATTTGAAATAAAATCCTGCAAGTATACAATGATGTTCCCTAAATTTAATTTAGGAATCCAAGTTAATCCAAAGTTTCGTAGTCCCTGGAGAAAGTTCTTGCAGTGGAAACACAGATTTAGCCTTCAGATGCTTTCGGGAAACAGGGCCCATGTTAGTTTTGTGTAATATCCCCATGTGTCTAGAATGCTAAGCAAAGCAAAAAACATGTTTTTGAAGGGGAAGAGGATCTGATCCCATATGATGATGAATTGAGAATTGAAACCAGATCATGCATCCTCATTGCAGTCTGCATTGTAAAGATTGCATCTGAAATCTTTTCAACTTGCAGCAACTTGTACAGCTGACTGACACATCCCGTGTGCCAGTCAGAGCGAGTGAAGATTCTGTATATACCTAAGAGCACATAGCTCATAATTTGCAAACAAGGACTTGCTATGAATAAACAGTTCCCCTTTATGTTGATCCATATCTGTAAATTATACATTATTTTGCATCACAGTGTTATTATGTCAATACACCTTAACCCTGTTAGGACTTAGTCAAGTTATAATTCTTGTCTTTGCTAAAAAGAAACATGCTGGTCATAAGAGGAGCAGTCCACATCTGATTCTCATGTTCCGCCTCTTAAGTTTATTTTTAACCATGTCTGAGAAAATATCTTTCAAATTAAAGATGCACTATCAGCAAGCACCAGACATTTTGAGATACAGCAGTAAATACTACTCTGCTGGACTGATTAGGGACAAAATAATGTGGGAATATTTTAATATAAATGACTGCCCCTAAATGAGGAACCCCAGATATAATGTTGGAAGTGTCCTTCAAATGGCAGTTAGTGTGATCAGTGCAATCTTTGAATTAGGAGTGATGGAGATGAAGCCATTTAGCCTGTGGGAGGTTATCAAACTATATGACTCATTTCACTCTAAGAAAGGTAAAACAATGGAAGATGGGAGTTACCCCTCATACAGCAGGGCATGAGAATATGCACAAGGTGTTTTCACACTGAGGGCAATATAGTAAAGTATAGTAAGTAAATTTGATGGAAACAGTGCATGCGGCAGCATGCAATAACAACAAACTGTAATGTACCAATGGGATTTCCAACTCAGTAGGCTGTAAACGGTATCAGCAATGATTTAAGGTTGTGAAGGCTGAAAAATGAATGTGAGGTTTTCTGACCCGTCAAACCAATTAAACCCTTTTAACAAACTGCAATGTAGCAAGTAATGTATGACAAGTGAAGGACAGGAAATGCACAATTTACAGTAAAAAGGTCGGTCTAATACTTGTCTAGGTAACCTGACCTCAGTTAAAAATGTAATCATCAGCTATCAAACCCACAGGTATGTGGGACACACACAACTAACTTTTCATTTCAGTTCTATTCTTTCTTGGTGCATTAAGGGACTAACCACCTGCCAGGTGCCTTGACCAAAACTACATTGATAGAGTGCTCTAACACTATTAGAACATCTGCAAAGCTTTTGCAGTCAAAACACAAGCAGAAAGAAAATGTCATGACATAACTTGCTGGAATCTAGGAGGCACTTGAAGAATTGGGACCAACACCTAACAACTGTTCAAAATGCACCTAAATTATTCACTTTCTAATTCAATGGCATGCCTCATTTCTGTTGGTTTAGAGGAGAAAAGGAGCTTCAGTATGACTATACATATACAATTGGTTATCTTTATTGGATACAGCAGGTGCCTCTTTATATAGTGTGAAAGGAAGTGTGTCTCCTTTGTGGTTTTTTTTACAAGACACTTCTCTAAAGCGGTAAACATTCAACCCTGAATGCGCATGTTCCTTGAAGCTTAAGTTGCCCTCATATTTCTAACAAGGTAAGCAGGTAGATAGCTCAACTGGAAAACATGGTCGTAATTGCCTTCAGTGGCAGAATTTATATTATAAAAGTAAGAAATCAAAAAGAAAACCAACTTCATTCGTATGCAAAAGTGAGCAGACTATATTGACTCACCTCGTAGAATGCGACACGGAGGCACCAACAGACGGTGGAAAGATAAGAGAGTTTACACACCACAGCAGACCTAACAGAGGAAACCTCACCTCTGACCCTCACATGCAGTGTGGCGTCTCAACCATGCAGCTCAGCAAATGACTCAACAGCTATGTCCCACCTCCATGGGAGGAAAGCACGAATACCACAATCAAAGAGGAGGAAGAGTCTGTTTGGATTGCACCTAGCTGCTCTCTGTTCACCTCCCTTTGCGTGTCAACACATATCAGCAGAACCCTCCCCTAATCACTCAAAATAATTTAGCATTAAATAACTGCCAAAAACAAACTTTTATAAGCGTTATTAATAGATATTTAACAAGTTCAGACCAGAAAGCTAAGTACAATTGACCAGTTTCTTTTACATACAGAACATAATGACCTTTCTTTAAATATAGAAATTGTCGTGATGTTGCTAAAAATAGAACTTTTCATAGGATATATGTGAAAATGTTTGCTTTTCATAGGCTATCTCAACTGCTGCCAGACATTATTCTGAAAGTTTAAGCTACAACGATTTCAGTAACATTCACTGGTTTATGTGAAAAAGGGGCTTTTAGTCTTAGAAAATAAAGAATTCAATTTTCTTACAAAAAAATTAAAAAAAAGTAAATCTATAGATGAGCAAATAACCAAATCAAATCAGTTTAGAGGTTTTGTGTTACAAATGTCGATAATCTCACAATTTTAAGGACTTAATGAAACAGGAGACTGAAATGAGGCATCAGATCTACCACGGACAAGTTTTGGTTCCTATCACTTTCCCATCTATTCTTCCAAAACCCAATGTAAGGTGTGCGGGCAAACCCGGCTTCCCCGCTGGATAGAGGAATCCCCAGGAGACATAAGTCATTCATTCAGCTATGAGTCAGTCCCCATCAACCACAATCCCTGAGTAAATGTCACTTCTTCAAACAGGATGCACTGAAATGTACACTACATTTGCAGCCACAATGTGGTAGTTAGAACACGCTCATCCCAACTAACTAGCCAGCACCCTGTTCTCTTTTCTGTCTCGTGTAGAAACCCCCCACTGCTCATAGAAACCTCTTTGAGGTTAAAAGATGAATTTGGGGCTGTTGTTAATTCATTATGAGAACAGAGTGGTGGTGTCTAATGACAGTGTGGATAGTTGATGTTGTCTTCAGTTACATAATAAGTTATTATAATCAGTTCACCATCATAGAGGACAAAGAAAACCTGAAAATCCTCACATTTAAGAAATCACAACCAAAGATTATTTTTTTTTATTTATTTATTTTTTTGCATTTTTGCTTTCAAAAATTACTTGTTGCTTGTGTAACATAGCTTACTGCCACAGAGGCAGAAAATTACTGACGAGTCAAAATCAGTCAAAAGCGGCAGCAGGGTACTCGGGACTGACTCATCAGTTAAGCAATAATTACTGCTGTCACAAATAACGAGAGTCTGAAAAATGCTCAACGTTTCTGTTGATCAGCTGAGCAGTTGGTGGAGTTAAGAAACATAGCTAAGCCATGAAAAAACAAACATGGATCTAAGTATATGATGCTGAGTATCAGAATATTCAAAATTGGGCATTAGAAATATTTAATGGAGAAGGAAATGCATTGTATTGAATGTTTGTTAGGGCAAAATAATGCATACAATGTGTGTGAATGTAAACATAACATTTATTGTTTTTTTTCCTTTGTTCATAAAAACATCCACACAGGAACTTAACTTAACATTTTCAGAAAGTCCTGTAAGGTGGAGCAAAGCTTAGCTAAAAATATTCTGACAAATTAACGTTAATGTGGGAAAAATAATGTGGTTGAGGAAAAAGTGAATGCTGTTCCACCTTTACACCCCCATCCCCCACCCCTTTTGTTTCTCTCTTTAATAGCAGGAGTCCTGACAAACTGGGTTGAAGAAAAAGATGAAAAAACACGGCTCAACATAAGTGCATGATATGGAGCAGGCAGTCCTGTAGCAACGTCACAGACAGCAACACTGATGTCAAGGATTTGGGATTTTCATCATACAGCATTAGAAAGATCCCAGCTTTTAGGTAATATTGTTCAAAGCAGAGAACTCACCAGCCTGATGTTGTTATTGTCCTTCTGTAAGGTCAATGGACTCTTCAGGTCACATGAAAATCCTGTAAAAACATCTTTCTTTCTTTTTTTCCCTTTAATCTAAGCCCAGACGTGTCCTCTCCAGCTTTGACTTCCTCTTTTGTGGAGATCGGCACATGTTGCAATTTCCTTTTCAGGGATCTTTTGTAAGCCAGCGAGTGTCCTAATCCGTTGAGCAATAACTGGGAGGAGAGCTGCCTGGATCCTGCTATTCATGTGATTCACACCATATACAGATCTCTTACTCACCACGTAGAACTCTTGTTTTTTAGGACAGAGTCTAAAGTCAGTTCACAGGAAAATATCTTTACTGACAATCAGCTTTGTGTCCCACCTTGTTCTGTCCGATTAATCCTTTCCAGCACTAATGAATCACTGTTTGCTGAGTGCAGCTGTGGTTTATATTACGGTATCATTTGTGGCTCCATTTAAAACACTGTCTTGTTGAGACCTCTAGTGGCTGCATGGAGAAGGTACTTGAGATAAAGATATCTGCAAATGAAGTGATCAACCAATCCTTAACCAAAAAATGCATTTATTATAATTTAAAATATTCAATAATGGCGTATGCTTTTATTTACTGTTCACGTTGTGGTTCTACAGTGCTTACTGTGTGGTGAACACTATGTGTTTCTGCTTTTGTGCATGGTGGCTCAGACGCTTGCGGTTTTCTGTGTGGAGTTTACATGTTCTTTATGTCTGCGTGGGATTCTTGTGGGTGCCCCTGTTTCCTCTGACAGTCCAAAGACTGTTTAAGTGAAGTGGAAACTCCAAATTACATGGGATTACATGTGTTTGAATGTCTATATCTAGACAGGATATGCAGTTGCTCAGTGCATGCTGGGACAGGCTAGTCCAGCCCCACACTCATAGGTTAATGTGTCTGGGTTAGGGGTAGGGGCCTCAGTGGTGCTTAAGAATGAGTACAGGGCTGTTTTTCTTATGAGCCTCCCTCAAGAGGCACCATCACAAGAGGAATGCACGAGTTGTATGAGAAGGAGAGGACTACAAAAGCGGCGGCGTTACAACATGCACCAACTGTTGCTCTCACTGGAGACGACTGGACATCGCTGGGTTACCATAGTTACCTCGGAGTTACAGTGCATTATATTGATGGACAGTGGGAGCTGCATTTACATGCTCTGACTGTAATGAAAACAGAGAGACATTTTGCTTGCACAGCAATGGAACATTTCAAATAAAGTCAGCCCAGATAGCACAAGACATATTTTCACTGTTACTGTGTAAAGGGAATACTGCTATTAAAAAGCAACTTATTTGTTTAAAGTGTAAAGTTGTGTATAAGTGCAAACCAAATGTTATTGTACTTTTGTTCATAGAGCAGTACTTTTTAAATAAAAGTGCACAATACACTACTTTTGAATTCATTATTGAATTTTGCGGAACTGCGATCATCATCAGAAGATTACAAATTTAAATCGTTGCCCAGCACTAATGAACGATCAACTGAAGAGATGAAGTCTAAATACATAAAATGATGCACTGGGACCAGAACAGTTAGATCATCAACACCATTTAATACTTTTAATAGAGCAGTAATGTAACAATTATTTTCTAGGATTATAACATTATAAATGCTACGTACCATCAAACATCAACACTGAGAGATTTGATTAGTTAGATTTGACATGTAAAAGTGCAGACAAGTACAAAATGCTTCCCTGAGAAGATTTATTGCATTTTGAAAAAACAACAACACATACACTCCTACTGCAATCCAATACAAAAGCTCAGCCATAAATTCAACCTTAAGATAATAATGTTCAATGTTTGCAATAAACCTCAGCAATAAATTGAATATTATCTCTCTCAGACAGTTTCAATTAAAACTGCACTTAATATAGGTAGATTTTATAGCTGATCTCTTGTATTGTATTGCATTAGGTTTCTCACTCATAAAGTGGCCACTGAGCGTATATTTTTAACTTTTGAGTGTTTAAATGACAAAACATTGGCCAATATATAATGCCGATATAAAAAAGTCTTCCTTAAAAAAATCTGGCAACACTGTACAGGCGTTATGATTCAATATAATACAGTATATTGTGATATTGTAAGCAAGGTGATTTTGTAGGGGTGTAGGTGTTATAGTATAAAGAGTGCACCACCATATGCATAAAATCTGAGTAAAAAAATGTTATGCAACAAGGTCAGTAGGATCTGCATTTGTATTGTGCACAGTCCCTGTAACATCCATCACCATAGCCCCAGTATCACAATACAGAATATTAGATACGTATCAGTGTATCAATATTGCCACATTAGCACATACAATATCAAAAGTAAGAAAAATGCCATGTGTAATTCTCAGTGAAGGATAAATAAATGGAGGACAGTGGGTAACAGCTGAAAGCAGCTACTGATTGAACACTGAATGCCTGTGAAAGGAGTGTTAATCACCAAACACAGTGTGGTTGTGTCACTGCATAACATCACATGCACACAATGCATGAAACAGTGATTTGATGTAACAGCAAACACGTTAAAGAAGGTTTTTGTTTTAAGGAAGAAGCGAGCACACCAGCAGAGTTAGAAAGTGCTGTTCTGCCGAGCCAGAAAGTAATCCATTTTGTTTTTCCTTTTAGGTTTGAAGATGACATAGAGGAAGATAGAAACCACCGTCAGAAAGCAGGACACGGCCACCACAGCTACCACCAGCCATGTAAATGTGGAGTCTGCAAAGAGAAAGACAGAGGTAAATGCATGCTCTGATATAGAAGCTACTGGTTCTCTTGAACATTGCAAAGGATAATTGTGATAACTGTGTATTAGAGCTTAGATTGGGTATTGGTTCTGTTGGTTATGATCACGTACTTATTCTTAGTCTTGGAACATGGCGACATTGTTTAAACAAAGTCTAGTTTAGCATGGATACTTTGACTACTAGTGTATCTCAAGCATCATTTATACTGCAGTGGTCCCAGATTACTTTTAGAAATTACTTTAGTGAGTACAATGTTATCATATTATCATAATTAACACCAACGATGGCCAAAATGTCATGTGACATACTGGTTGTCATGTGTTTCAGGAATCTTCCTTTATAAGTATGTCTAAGTGTCTAACTTGATATAAGGAGGATTTACATCCTTAAAATTCCAATATACTCAGTGACAAAAGTGTTTCTGTGGGGCTCTCTTAATTACACACTGTACACACACACACACACACACACACACACACACACACAGACACCCACACACACACACAACTCACCCTCTAGCTGAAGCTGTGTGACAACTTCCTGTCTCCCTCCTTGGTTCTGAGTGACACACTTGAGCTCCGTCATCACGTCTTCTTCGGTCATCGCTACAAGAATTAGCCTCAACTCAATCTGGCAGCCCTCAGACATCCTGGTTACCCTGGAAACATTGAGACAGACACAGCGATCTGTTTACATGGTATGACTTAGGCTGAAGTTTATTTAATGTTACTCAAATATTAGCTGCTTTGACCACAGGTTGGAAGTCCCAGCACACAGAAAGGAACAATCAAAATTAAGAAGGTACAATCCAAAGTGATTCCTCAATGGCTTACAAGTGAACAGATAATATCATTTCTAACAGTGTTTTGAGTAGTTATGTTTAGTATTTACTGCGCTATATTTACACTGGATAAACAGGAAAATGAAGTCTACTTCACAAATTTTGAACATGTATCTTAAAATGACAAAAAATGTAGAAGTTTTCCAATTTGAATGTAGTTTTCAATCTAAAGGCAAGTAGCCATCTTTCTATGCCACCAGGGGGCTTCAAAGTGCGTTATTTCCTAATCGGAAAGTATCTTGTGCTCCTTTTGTGTGGCAAAAACAAATCAACAATTACCTCCTGCCCCCCTGCAGAGCCCGCCTATCAAGGTAGGATGACTCCACTGATTGACCATTGACCAGCCATGTGACCACAGTGGACGGCGCCATTTGACATTCAGTGAGCACTGTGCAAAGCAGCTCCAGTCCTGAACCTAAACAGAGTCAGAGGTTTATCACCATTACACCTCTGTCACATCTGAATTGTCCATCTGTTCATTAAAGCACTTTGCATCCAAGCATGAGATAGAGGTGGTATATTATCACTCACCATGCAGACTTTCAAAAATAGTTCCATTCAGTGGCGAGACAATCACCGGTGGTTGAATCATTGGAGCTAAGACATAAAGAAACACATTTAATCAGTATCAGAATTAACCCGTAACAAAATTTGGCTTCTACAAAGTAAACAAATAAACAAAAAACTCACTGTGAACTGTGCTGTAGCTGCTGCTGCTGCTGCTGCTGCTGCTGCTGCTGCTGATAAGCCCTGGGTTAGAGGTCATGGAGACGTCAGGCACAGTGGGATTAGTAGTGATTGCAGGGTCTAGACCTTCACACATACACACACAGACAAGTGTTAACACATTCAACAACAACAAACAACTCTTCATATTACAGCAACAATGACTTATTTCACACAACAATAATAATTCATGACAGGTTGCCAACCAGGTGTTTTTTTTGCACAAGCTTGAGTTTTCCAGTCCCTATGGCTATGTCAGTGTGCTGCTTCTATTTGGCCAGTAGAGGGCAGGGCACGCCAATGATTTATGGTCTTATTTTGAGAAATAGAAAAACAGGTTTTATATCAACATGTCTGATTTAGCCTACACTCCTCAAGCGGGGCCGTTCATAAAAGAGAGAGTGCTGTGACATCACCCACCTTGTACACGGAGTTGGACGGCTCTGCTGACTTTGTACTGCTGGTTGTTGATGAGCACTCTGACCTGACAGGTGTAGATACCTCCATGGGATTGCCTCACAGCATGGATCAGTAGGTACCCTTGGTCCTGGCTGAAGGAGCCCCTTCTGGAGTCCTGTCAGGAGGCAATGTACTGCATCACTCACGGGGAATACGCAAGGAACGATCACTGAGAGGGTTGAGATCTAGCTGGGGCCTCCAAAAGACTTGCATACCTTGTGCTGTATTAGTTTTTAATTTTAAGTGTCCATAAAATGGATGTTTAGCGTGCTACAGTATTAGGTGAGGCTATCATTGTATCCATAAACACACTGATGGGCCAAGGGCTGTACAATTAATGGAAATATTATCAACATGGCAATATAGCCAAGTGCAATATGCATATAGCAGAAGCTGCAATTTTTTGATAAAAGTGAAATGTGTGAGAAATCAGCATTATAATAAAGTACTGTTGTGCTGCAGTGATGCCCTGGCCAACAACTTTTGTTCTCTAGATTTAAGAATTTAAATTTTTCAATGCAAAAATTATCATTTCCACACTAATCGTAAATTATATAGAAATTGCAATATCTGTTGAAATAATCGCCATATCATGTTTTTATCATATTGTGCTGCCCTAATAGGCAATTAACAAATATATGACCTTTGTAGACTTTAATAGAATTCATCTCCTTCTACACAAATGTACTGTAACTCCTCTCCCATTGAGCTATAGTGTCCGATGAGAGACATCACAATATCTCACTATGTAAATGAACATTTCAATCAGTATTTTTCAGCATGAGTTGCAGCACAGTTGTCCTTCATGAATCCGTTCAAAATGTACACAATTTAAAGCTCCCTAAAACAAATTTGTGATTCTGGGCAACAATAAAAAAAATTGACAGGACTTGACACAGTGTCACAAAAAATCTACATCTTACCATGTATTTTGCGTCTATTATTGATTAATTATTAAAAAATACATGAATTATATATTTCTAAAAAAATATGTTTTCTTCAATGCTGCATTAAATTAAGAAAATAGAAAAATGCTTGAACTGGTTGAAACAATGGCTTTTTGTAACACAAAGATACCTATATTCAGGTGATTATACTTTTTATATTTATTTATAGTAAAATCATAACTATAAATATTATATCCCTTTTCTGCCAATAGATCCTCCTCAGTGTTACACACTGGACCTTTTTAATGGGTATAAAATGAGTTTAGAAAGATTACAGTCTCAGCAACTGACAAACTAGTATGTATTTTTCCTCTCACCTTGTGCCACTCTATCGATGTGTCTGTCTTGTTGAAGTCACTTAGAGATGGACATCGCTGTCTCAGGTTCTCTCCCACCTTGACTGAGATTGGATAGGATAGTTTCTCCATGTCAACCTTACTGGACTTGTACACAATTAGCGGGATACTCCCAGTTACACAGTAGGTTTCATTTCTGTAGACAAAAGTGAGGAAAAAAATATTTAGTCACCGGTAGGGAAAAAAAAAAAGTAAAAGGTTCAAATTCTCATGATGACCCTCTGAAGTGGGTTCAGATATATGGTGCATTTTTACAATAAGTCTGAAAATCAAAAGAATTACATTTTCACATGTCCCATTATATAATCTTCAACATAACAAGAAGCAGTTATGAAAAATACTAGGGAAAATAAGCAATACTATATACAATATACAAAGAGGTATAAAAAAAAGATATTTGTAATGTGTGATTACTTATTTATTGAGTCGACACATGGTCTTATAACATAATTTTTTGGGGAGATTAAACAGTGCTTTCCAGAGAGATTACATTACAACTGCGTGGGAAAAACCTCCAGCTATGAACATAAATTGTCTTATCCCTTATGGGTTGCAAGACTGTAAAGTAGAGCATAGTGCAGGTGATGTAGAAGTTTAATGCCTACCTATAAGTACAGATATAGTTCCCTGAGTCAGAAGCCTTAGCAGGGAGGAACCACAACTGTTTGTCATTCTGCATGACACGCCCCTTGCCCTCATAGGTCACACCCTCTGTCCCATTGTCCTTGGTGATGATGAACTTTGCTGTTGGGGGGGCAATGTTGCGTACTTCAAGCACTCTGTTGAACATTGGGAAGGAGAGGATTATTGCCTCACCTTCCACTCTGAATATCTCCACCTCTGGAAACACCTGGTAGCAGCCATCTGCAGGGGAAAGAACACTCGAACACATTATTCTGATCCTATATATCTCCATATATTGTATTATATTATATGTGTGTATGTATATATGCATATGTGTATGTATGTGTGTGTATATGTACATAAAATATGATAATTGCTGAAGAATATGTATGTAAAAATGCTCACCTTTCATAGGTAGAGGAGGTAGAGGAGGTTTTCCATAAACGTATTCAATGATGACCACAGCAAACATCAGTACCAAGCGGACCATGATGGCAGTCTGCAGTGACACAAAAATCCAAACTAAAATATCCTCTAGCAAAATGTGTACAGATGTCTAACTAGTGGGCCCTCTGAGAGAGCAGGGTTGTCCTCTTGCTTTCAGACTAATGGAGGAAAACTGAAACACTGACAAAGCAGCTGTCATGCCAGGTACTGGGATTTTGCCGATGTTGTTTCTTCAAGCACCTCAGAGTTTTAATGACGTCCAGCTTTAATTTAAACTCCTTTTGTTGTAAAAGTTCTGTGACATCACTAGAGTCGTCATCGAAAAGGCAGCACTTCTGGTCATCCCGCCCCCACGCTCAGCAGCAAATTTAACCTCAGGGATTTACTAACGGAATCCCATGAAATGAGTCACATTAAATGGTGAAATGCCACTTATATCAAAGGTCAGCAGAAATAATACCAACAGTAATAATATCATTTATATTTATTTATAATTAAAGATAAAGGCCTGTTTTTCTGAGGTTTCAGCAAACCTTTAAATGGTTTCAGAAAATATTACAGACTTATCTATTCATTGTGATATAATATTTCACCCCTATATTTTGCTATACAAACATGATGGGGTAATACTTATATTTTGATGAAGATCTGGGCATTTAGAGTGATAGAATATATATTGAATTGAAAATCATTTCTGTTCTGTTTATTAGGCATTATCTGATCTGCTTACTCAGATTACTATTATTCAAACATTATATTTCATCTATATATTATATATTGTATTCAGTAATACAAAATGTATTTCTTCTCCACATTATTGTACTCTATTGTATTCTTTATCAGTTTAAGCTGGGCTTTGCCCGACAGGAAGCTAAAGTCTCTGGTTCGTGCAGATCACTTTTGCCGCAATGTTAAATCATCATTTCAATGGTTGAATTTTTGAGCAAGTTGAATTTCACTTCTGCTTCTCTTTCCTTGGCTATGATTGCAGCGCCTCTCAAACATTTTCTGGGATGCCCCTCTTCAGAAGCTGGAAGGTTCACAGCCCCCATTCCACAGTTTTTATCCATCATTACCCAATGATTGGGAAAGCAACTAATAAAAAATGATGCAGGTTGAATTTTAATTAATTCTGTAGTAAGAGCAATAGCATCAACAATTATGTTTATTTTTCTTACATAACTCTAAAATAAAATAAATCTAATTAATTCAGCTTTGTTTCACTTTCACACACATTTACAATCTTTTCCCTGATAAAGCCTTTGCTGTCATAAAAGGTCAATCCCATTCATAAAATCTGTGGGTGTGTCATTGTAATGACAATACAGTGCTGTAAGTGTGACGTTGTCTAGAATGGAATGGAAACTTTGACAAGTTGATAGTATCAATTAAAGCAACAAAAAATCCTATCTGAGCTTATTTGTGACGACCAAACTCCTGTCAGTTATATTTTACTGTTTGCTTATTATATAATTATAATTTTAAAACTGTATATAGGAGTTTAACTCAGTATCTGTCCAATTAGAGTGTGTTAATGAGCAGTAGTCCTTGTTGCAATACTCTGGTTGCCTTTGCATTTAATGTCAATATTACATTGTATTTTTATACGAAGAATAATGATAGTATATACACATAAATAAAATATAAATAAATATATGTATTTAGGAATTATAGATATAGCATGTGGAATTAATGACTGATTAAATTTAGAAGGCACGGGTACACTTAATATTTTCTATAATGTAGATTCACTTTGTCAAAAGGTTATGTGGATAAATCTCAAGCTGGTAGCTTCCCTCAAATTCACAGACTCTTAAATAAATATAAACAACTAAATGTAAACAGTAGTGCAAAAATTATACAAAAATAGCAATAGTATCGTGTAGAAATAATGCATTAAAAGTATGTATATAAAAATAAAAGTATGTATATAAATATACAAATTCATATTATATTTTAGTCTAGTCTATATAATGAAAGACATAAAACTAATAGTAATTAACTAATTAACATATTACTATAATTAATCAACAAATACACATACAATCAGTACACATAAAAAAACCTATATCCATATAGATATACTGTACAAACACACTTGCATATAGACACACAAACAGCAGTAGTGTACTCACGGTGTACAGGTGAGCGTGGCGGTCCCAGCAGTGACAGTGGTAGCAGACAGATGTGGTGACAGCGTGGACTGTGGCCACATGTGGTCAGTTTCCTGTCGGCTCAGGGGGAACCTGCACTCTCTTTTCAACGTTCCCACCCCTCTGAGATGGAAATTTCTCATGTTTCCCAATGTAACGCAGTGTACTGTACAGCTCACCACTCATGTCTGCTGACTCCTCAAAACACACTACACATACACAGTATATACACATACTGAACCCACATACATCGTGGGCAAAGAGCTACACAGCCAGCCAGGCAGAATTTCTGCAGGTTCATTGTGAAGAAAGGCAGTGGTCTAGTTTTACAAGTGTTTATGGCTGTTGTAGCTGTTCCTCTGGCATCATCTGCCTCTTGCGTCAGTGGTGTACATCTCTGTTTGTTTTAGCACAAGAACACACACATATTTACAAACACACCCCAACTATCTGCACATGGGATGACTAATTGTTCATTCACATTTCAGAAACTGTTTTCTCACCAATAGCAGTATCTAGCCATACAGATCTTCATTTCTGACATTTCTGTTGCCACCTCATCGCAGTGGAGGTGTAAACAATTTTGTTTTTTGTTCTGAAATAAAAATTGTAGTTGTGTATTCATTTATTTTTAGTTGTAATTTTCAAGAATTACATTTTATAAGCTGTAAAGCTGATCATTTGATGATCATCTGATGTGGGCTAACTAGTTCCAGAGCTGTTACTGAGTCAGTAGACCAGAGGGCTACAGTAACTATTTGTTGTGGTTAAACTGGAGGAGTAGAACAGCTTACAGGCTCTGGTGACAGCTTTTATATTGTTTCTTCAGCGTTTATACCACATGATTAATGAATAATAAGTCAGCTATACTGTAATTGCATGTGCAACACTCCCTATTTTTTCTTATAAAGCAGTACGTGAGTGTGTGCACATTCACCAGTGCAGGTGACATTTGATATTGTAGTAAGTGGCCAGCGAGGGATTGGCAGTGTAGAGATCTTATTAGTGATGTAATGCAGTAGGTTTCTGCCACCAGACCCAGCCAGCTTGTTGCGTGGGTTCAGCTTTGGTTATTTTCAAGAATTTTCTCTTTGTGACTGTGCCAGTAGACCTTTTTCACAGCAGCCATTTTGACATGAAATAGTTGGACAAACACAGGTGTTACCAATGATACTAATTAAGGTTGTGTTCCATTCAGGTCAAACAGAGTCATAGTGCTGCTATTGTGCATGTTGGCTCAGTGGAAAGACTGCTACACTAATAAGAACTGAATTTTAATTAATATGTATATAACACCTGTATTTATTAGTCCTGTCCTAATCTGCTTTTTTTAGCCCCCGATCTGATGAAGTATTTGCAGATACGGAGTCCCTATCCGATACTTATGTTTTTTTTAGATAATGCAGTGCACAGTGCCCACTACAAGTACATTAAAGTTATTAAAATCAATCCACTGTATACTTGACAATTAAATGGCATCAAAGCTGTTTTTTTTTCTTTTCTTTTTTTTCACACTAAATTTTAAAATGATAGATCTTCTCTGTAATCTTTTTGGTGTTGTCACTGTCTGGAGGGATTGTCTCTGAAGCCTTTACCTGAGTTACCTGTATTCTGCTGAGTAATTATTTTTGTTGTCTGTACTTTTGAATGGATTACATTAATTAATTACTCATGTTGGTATGGTTTTTGTTGCACTTGCAGTGGCATGTTGAGTGTGGCTGTATTGCTCTCTACTCTGAGCAGAGGCGGCTCCGCCTGCAGTGAAACTCCATGACATAGCTGCACCGTGCATTAAAGCACGAGTAAAAACTGCTGTGTCACAGCTGACTTAAAACAATGGATCTGATCGGGTCATTAAAGCAGATACCGATCAGTTAAAAAATGCATTGATTGGCACCAATACCGATCGTTGAGATCAGATCGGGACATCCCTAGTATTTGTTATTATTATCAGTATTATTTCATGTCAGAATGGTTGCTGTGAAAAGGGTTTAATTTGTCTTGCAAGGACAGTAGATGCACAATACCTTATGTGAAGAAAGACAGGGACAGAGTGTAGACAATGGGTTGTGTTAGCCTGGCATGCTAACAGGCTCATTTTTAACACAAGAAATATTGTCAAAAAATGTGTGGATGAAAATGTAAACTCATGGCCAGTAACATTAATATTGACAAATATAACTGATAACAACACTAGTAAGATTAAGTGTACATTATACAAATTGAGCAGAGAGAGATGTCATTTCTGCCCACCATCGTTATGTGGATTAGGAAATAGACTCCTAACTTTGGTAATGGTCTAAAATCTGTTTTGGTTTGAGGATTTTGGAAATACTTTCAGAAACATCTGAATTTTTAAAATATTATCAGAGATGTTTCTTTCCGAAAAATAAGCGCGATAATACACAAGAGAAACAAACTGCGAAAAATTTGTATTGAGCTCATAATGTACTATTTTTTTAAAAAAGTCTGTTATTTAGTTTTGAATCAATCCACTAAAAATGGGATAATTTTAAGCATCAAGACTTGACAGCTGTAAATTGCTTGAAAAAGAGTTTGTTTTTATTTATGCACTGACTTTTAAAAAAAAAAAATGTAAATGTTGTGTGAACTTATTAGATATAATCAGTGGGGAAAGATCCCATCAAGAAGTTTTCTCGGTTCTAAAATGGGATCCAAGAAGTTACCTTTGAATGATAGTTCTAGTGCAACAGGACATGGGCTGCACTGAACCTCCTTGGCTTTGTGTCAGTGAGTGATGCAGGCTGTTGCTAAAACGCAGTCAGATTGTACAAATACTTCATGTCATTGACAATGAAGTAAAGTGTACCTGAATCAGAAAAATGTGGGGCTTACCAAACCCTCCCAAATCTGAAAACAGCTGTGTAATAGTAGTATGACTCACTCCTCTGTCATCTCTCTGTGTAGAAACTATGGCGTCCACATTGAGCATTCCTCTGAATTACTCAGTTTGGCTGACATTGTGATCTTGACATGGACATTTTCCAATACAGAGATACTTGCAAATTACATTACATGACTACTCTACAGTGATGTAAGCTGTAGATTGGCTTGCTGGTTGGATCGTGTGAAAGTGCTTTATTCCACATTCTAATCCAGTCTGTGACAAAACAGGAAAATTTAGTTTGTTTAAATTTGTATCCACTCCGTTTGCATTCACAATGATTAATCGCAAGCAGAAGAGCCCTTGTAAAAAAAAGCCACATGACTAACTATTAATTAATTAATTTAATGGACAGAGATTTGTATAAATACAGACTTTAAGTTAGAGTTTGTCATCCATGCTCCTTAAAAACAGATCTGAATCCACTTCCTGTAATCCAGGACTACCTGCTACTGAGAGCATTAAAAAAAAGAGCTACATCTAAGAAACAGTTCAGACTCAGTTCAGACTACAGCCCGTGAACCTTTGATTCACTCTACCTTCTCACTCAAAACAACCTGCTTTTCAGTCTTTTTGAGACTAAATATCAATGTCATCTGCTGGTCCTGGATCAAAACCGTGTTGTCATATTTTCATGATGATGATAAAGTGGTATCATGACATTTACACAAAACAAAGTAGAGAACATGAATCAGCAGATTGTGCTGAACCTCTGGGGAGCATCTTCAGTTGCAAATAGGAGTTTTGTCATTAACAAAACCAAGCCTTTCATACACAACAGCAGTGCTCTGCCAGTGTTTTTAACACATGCAGGTTAAAAGGTAACAGATGCAGGACATACTGTTCATTAAACTGGCCATTGAGAAAGCAGATGATGTTGCGTGTTTTGGGAATGCTCCAGATCACCTCATCGCTATCTGTGATATCCTGATACTCAATAATACTGGACAGATGACTAAGCAGTTTGACAGAGCTGCATTTTGTTTTTTGCATCTGCTGAGGAATTTACCTTCTAGCCTCTCTATCATATCAGTACACTATAAGCCCAACGGGACCCCATTTCTGTTCAAGACAAAAAGAGAGACGCCGGTTCCTGGACAGACTGGTGAGGAGAGCTGGCTGAGTGGTGGGCACAGAGCTGGACTCCCTGGTGACAGTGGCCCACCACCCTCTGCACAACACCTTCACCAGGCAGAGGAGTGTGTTCAGTGGCAGACAGCTGTCTCAATCGAGCTCCACCAACAAACTGAAAAAACCTTTTCAGTCTGTTGGTGGCCATCAGACTGTACAACAGCTCTTAGTCAAGGCAGGCAGGACAATAGATAATAGACAATGGACAATCTCTACTTCGTTTGCACTCCATCTGCACTGCTTACTGTTTGCACTGTTTACTGTGGCTACTATGTTAACTTTGATTTTATTTGAGTTAACTTTAATTTAATTTTAGTTAACTTTAAATTTTTTATTTTATTGTAATGTATGTTTAATGTATGTCTAATGTATGTCTTGTATGCTACTGGATGGATAAATAAAGTATCTATGTATCTATGTATCTATCTATCTATCGCCTGTCAGTCAGTTGGATAGTAGATCATTTTTTGCATCTCTGAAATGATCAGTTCCCTTTTGGTGGCAAAGCCAAAATGCAGCAGGAAGAATTCAGCTAGAAAAGTAGAATTTCTACAGTGGTGGCATCTTTAAATGACAAATTCTGGTCATAAAATTAATATATTTTATAGATGAGATACAGTAGGGCTTAATTGTGAGATTTGAAGACCTGTGTCCTACAGCAGGCTGCTCTCACAGGAAGCTACACAGAAAAAAAATGCCATTGTTTCCTCACCAGGATGAAAACTCCAGGTCGCATGGACTCACCCAGAGTAGTTTTTAACCTTAAAGTAAGTCAAACTTAATATGCAACTGCACCTTAACCAAATGATCTAAACAATATCTAGAAATGTATGGCAGCGTTCTTACTCGTTTTGTGTAGAACAATGTAACATTTTGTAGACTATGAGCCAAAGACTTGTGGTTTTTTAATCTTATAGGTCAAGTGTAAATTGGATAATTGGATTTTTTTCTTCATAGAGGACCATGAGTTTTGTTAATTACACCACAAATAAGGATCCCCTCCCCCACCTCAATTAACTACTTTTGCTCCTAACTTAATCTTCACAGAAAATTCTACATTTACATTGGGCTCCTCTGTCATCCAACATGTAATCAATGCAGGCAAACTTAATAATAATAATAATAATAATAATAATAATAATAATGTTAATCTAATATTATTATTATTATTATTAATAATATACTTTGTCCTTCACAGGACAGCAAGCTATTCATACTAAATAAGTTTTCCCTGCCTCTGAAAATTTGAATGATAAGAATTCACACTAATTATTTGTCCACATAATGATCAGTATATGAAACACAAACAATCAAATAGTGAATTCCACTGTATGCAGAATGTTGCATGCATGCCGGCAGGGTTATATTTTCACAGCACACTGTATGTAGATAGTACAGTAAATATTGGACTGTAAGAGAGTTGCAAGCCTACAAAAGGTATAGTTTTTAAAGGTGCAGTGTGTAGGATTTAGTGGCATCTCGCTGTGAAGTTGCAGATTGTAACTAACTGAATACCACCAAGTGTGTAGGAGAAACTGGTGGCCACAAAACATTGAGCAGGGTTGGCACAGCCTGTGGTGGTGGGGCCCAGTGTGACCTTTTTAAATCGGGCCCAAAATGCCACCCCTGGTTGTGTGCACCAGACTCTATGAACTGTGAACATAAGACATCCTCAGAAAATTAGACTTGTCCTTACTTATCTTTTCAGCAGGGCTCCCACAGCCACTCATTCAGAAACCAGACATACAGAGACCACAATTTACAACACACTGACTTTCTTTTAAGTTCCATGTCAAAACAAGTTTCAAATGGAAAACACGAGGTATAATCTGTTGAAACAGACCAAAGCGTGCAACTGACGTGTTAGAAGTGTTTCAGTTAGCCAACATGTGTTACAACATTTCTCTTTTCAACATGTTTGCATGTGTGTTTTGGGGAACAAACAGCAGCAGAGGCTTTTCAGACATAAAAGACACTTCTTTTAAAATTACTTTTAAAGTTTATTCAAAGAAAAAAAACTTCAGGAAAATACATGACTTCCTGTCATACACAGAGAGGACATAAGTTAGAGTAGCATGGCAGAAACAGCAGAGGAAAAACACGTCGCCTCACGTCCAAGCCTGTAGGGAACGTAACTGCAATGTTTCCACGTTTAAAGCAGCGCTATGCGAATACCTGAAATGAACAACACGTGTGTTCTTTATTGTTTTGTAAGTAGGTTATTTAGTGGGGTAGGGGGAGATGACAAACAAATGAAAATATCCAATAAAAACCGGGCTCAAAAAGCAAAAAACAATTAAAGAACCAAGACGTATATGCATTAAACATAAATACCGTGATGCACATTAGTGTAACAAAACATTGCCTCTGTAAACATTTTCTCCACCTAAGGTGAGCGTAATAATATTAAACCACCGCAGTCGCATATTTACGTGTACATAGACTTACAGAAACAACAGAAACTATTGTTAAGCTTCTCGACTAGCGCTAAAACTTAAGAATACACAATGCTTCAAGTGATTTTTTTAAAGGATTTCCAAGTAGTGGTTTTCATAACAATAGGTTCCCACGTTTTAAAATGCTGCCCTCTTGGCACTTTTTCCAATGTGAGTCGGCAAGCGACTAGTTTTTCTCATCCGATATATAGACTTATATCATCTCGTCCTTTTTTTTAGCCCATAAAGAATATCAATAATCACAATTTTTTCATGAAGTCAATACAGCCACTCATCAAGGCCTTGATGCAATAAGAGACACACCAGGTACTACTGCACACACAGACCTCAGACAACACAGCATTGGGGTCCAAACGGCTTTTTTTTCTGCACGAGGGAAGGAAAAGTTAGAAAGTGTTACTGAGTGACTGGCAGTAACCTTTTCACATGTCAAAACACTGCTTGTGTGTGTAATTATTATCGTCAGGGGAAAAACACACTCAAGGTTAACTTGTTTGTGACCTGACGAGGACATGTTTAAACATGAAATGAAAGCACAAATTGGACTCTCCTTTGCCCCTTTTTGAGTCGCTGTGGAAACGGAGGAAAATCCAGCTCAGCCAATGGCCTAAAAGGAGATTGATGCTGCAGTTTGCTGCTCAGTCTTTCACATATACAGACAACTTAAATAACAGCTGGAGCAAGAAGTTGGGGGCACGAAATAGAGAAAACAATTCCTTCCCGAAAAAGTGGGTTTCCGTCTTCAGGTTCTTCACAAACAGCCGAGTGAGGAAAAGTTCTGCTCCGTGTTGCCTGTTTTGTGACACTTCATCACAGTAACGCTGAAATTCAGAGTCTGAGTGTAGAATTGATGAGGTTTAGGTCCCCATTTGATTGGAAAGAGTGCCTGACGTGCACAAGCAGGACTTGCAGGACGCCAGACAGCCCTCCTCAGCTCTGATGCACTCTTGTTTGCTCCCGCACAGATTCTCACTGCTGTGGAAAAGGTTTCAAAACAAATACAGAATGGCCCTCCCTGCAAAATATCTACACCTGACGTAGAGGCTCCGCTGCTGCCTTCAATCGTTTTAACTTGAAAATTGAACATCTAGGTTTGATCACTTGTGACAAGATACAAAGCAAAAACATCATCTCATGCCTTGGACCACCACACAGTAATATGTCTTTCTACATTCTTGACACTTAGTGCATTGCATTCATACAAATGATAGAAACGAAAAATGAAAGTGATTTGAAAGAATGAAATGGAAGATAGAAAACCAGCTTCCAGAAAGAACTCCTCTGCTGAAACAAACTTGCTGACCATGCGTTTTTCGTGCCTCTCTGCCACGAAAATCCAATTCGTCGATGACACTCAACTCTCCAACCACACAAGCACACACATACTGAACTTTCTCTTCTACTTTATCCCTCCGTTATCATCTTTATTTATTTTTTTTCATTTTACATCTGACTATTCACAGCAGTTCAAGTTTCTCGAGTTGAGAGACATCGGCTAACCGCCCTACCAGAGTTGAGTTTATGTCGTCGTGTTTGACCGGTGGGGGAAAAACACTGACCACTGATCTGGAAGATTAAATGAACTTTTATTATACATAGACACTTTATTTTATTTTACTTTATTTTTTGGACCACACCCACATCACGTTCTTCTTAGACAAACACACCTTGCACTTCTGTGGGTTCAGAGTAAAAGCAAGCAAACTGTGGGGGGATGTGCGTAAATCTTAAAAAACAAGGTAAAAGACATGTTTTACTCCACATAGTTACACTTATCTTCAAGGAATAATAATAGTAATAATTCAAAAAATACTATTCTGTAATCCATCTGCTTCAACTTTTCTTTCTCTCTCTGTATCCCCTTTTTTAAAGCACCTGTCCGAACAACACAATACTTCAACGACACACATACACACCCCTCCTGCCGAGTCCAATCAGACTTACAGTAGAACCTCAAATATTAGGCCCTTCTCACCTGCTTATCACCGTGACGAGCCCCACTGGCTCCGGGGTCTTACAATTTACCCCTGACTGACAGTCTCAATCTCTAACCAGCATGTCAGCAGTAGTTGGACCAAACAGAAGTACATTTACACACACTACTGTAGCATTAATACAACAGACTCCCACCCCATTGGCCCCCATGAAACGCTCATTAGAAAGGGCGGAGGGCAGGAACACCGGGCAGAGGGGGAACTCTCTTACAAGAGGCGGACCTGCAGAAGGTAGTAGCAGTAGTAGTAATAATAGTGGTAGCAGTACTAGTAGTTAGAAGACCTCAAGCTTACTGACCAGCCCAGGAGCACAGAAATGATGCAGAGGTACAAAATCTATCCCATCACAATCTGATGAGCACCAAGAAAAACGGAGAGGGAAACATAAAGTCGTTTGCCCCCTTTTCTTAAATTCACATTTATTTCTACTTTCTTTCGTATATTAATTAACCATTGATTTCATTTTGTGTGCAAGTCGTCACTTTGGGTATTTCAGTGGGCAACGACTGCGTGACTTGACCGGTTGTGTCACAGGTGGCCCCTAAGCCGTGATGCAGCAAGGCTGCAGCTCCAGGGGAAAGGTGAAGTCATTGTTGTCGACTGCTTCAAAAGGGCTGGTTGGTTGTTGGTTTTGTTCTCTTTTCTCTTTTTGTCCGAGTGCTGACAAGACATCGACGGTGGGTTCTGAGATCCAGTGTTAGTGAGGGTGGAGGACAATGAGGAAGATGAGGAGGAGGAGGAAGGGGGTGGGGTGTGGACCTCTACCAGCTGAGCAGGTTGCTTCGGCCCAGAGTCATAAAGTAGACCTGGCTGGAGCCACCAGACCGAACGGAGGCGAAGAACACCTGAAGAGGAGGAACAGATGGAGATTTTACTACTTGGTACAATCTCACTCTCACAGTCATCATTCACATGATTTCAGGTGCAGTTGGAATTTGTTGTTGGAACAACAATTCTTGCTAAAGAGGTTAGTGTAGATGCTGCTAGCATCAGTTAAATCAGAACTGAAGAGCAAAGAACGACACTGAAGGCTTTTCTCAATGGATCTTCTCCTGCCTGGCTTCTGTAAGAGTTTGATATGGTTTGTTGATCTGATTGGTTGGAAGTTTTGCCAGTGATAGACCATGACAGACAAATGGTTCATCCAATCACCTGTAACAGTATTTTTTGAATGTGCCTGACCTTTTCCAGTACGCATTCCCATATGGGTCTGTGTAACAAACCATCTGATGCAGACAGGTTAACATAATGCCTTAAATTAAATAATCAATCAATCAATTTCTGCTTCCCAGCTTTGTTTGGATTAAGGAAAAGAAATGCAACTTGAGAAATGGGCTAAAAATCGGGAGTTATTTTGAATAGACCGTTCTGCCCTGAGCAAACCGCAACAGTCCAGACAGAATTTAATTTAAAAATCTGTATCTCCAGTATTACCTGCACTAAGACATGAATGCAGTCATGTAGAAGGACCTCTCAAGTGTTACAGTTGTGCTTTTTCCTATTACACTGCCCACTAATGACTAACAGCTTATTTCCTATTGTAAAAACAATTGACGAGAAATGTCTTAGCTGAAGAAATCTAATCACCAGTCAACTCATTGACTAAGTTACCGTACTCCAAGGCTCACATAATTTCCTGCACAGGCACAGCTAAGGGAACTACAGAGAGGGGAATAAATTTCACTTCTTATTAGTTGAAACAGGCCAACAGTCGAGGGAAGAGAAACTAGAGAAGTTTAACATTACTTCCTGACAGAGCTGAACTAACTGAAAGTGGCTTTTGGTACGGTACATCTGACATGTTTGATGCTCTGTGTGGAAATCCGTCTGTGTTCCTGGGTGGTTTGGATGGTAAATAAGCCTCACATTAATAGAAACTGAAGGAGCCCCCTTTTACATCAGTTTAAACTTTTAACATGTTGTGTTTTTAAATACTTGTTACATCGCTGCCATTTGTTCATTTATAACAATACTGGTCAGATCGGGATGTGCTGTTGAATGTCTCACCTTGTCATTTCTTTCACAGAGGAACTTAAGTCTCTGGGCTCTCTTGTGCATGAAGACGCCGTCCAGATGGCCAGTCTCCACCGAGCGGATCTCTATGGCCTTCTCTCCCCAACCCATGATCTGGTTGGAACGAATGTATGCTGCAAAGAGGTATTTGTGTTAACTGATATAATGATTTTATAAAATAATGCTATATTTAAAAGACTCTCTGCAGCACTACAGTACTTTATTATAATGCTGTTTGTCACACATTTATCTTTATCCAAAAAGTGCATATATTGTGATTTTGATAATTCTGTGATTAATCACGCAGCCCTAGAACATACACTGCTCATGTAGATTGCTCCAAAGCTTTTTTAAGTGTGTGTATGGTTGTCTGGTTGTTTCCTCTGCAGCTGCAGGATAAATGCAAGTGGCTTGTGTAGGTGCAATACAATAGCTTTATGCATATGTAAACATGTGTTATATAATGATTAATCAATAATCAACAAATCGTCATTTAGAATTTAATCCATCAGGGGTATATTAACCAACAATGTGCAAAGTTGCATATTATAGGAAGTAACAAACAATACATAATGATAACCTATAATAATGTGTAAATATGTGAAATAAAGTTTCATTAATAATGTGTCTAATCATCACTTTTTTTTTGTTTAACTGTTGCTTTGTGAGTTTGTTACTTATCAAGCTCAACAGTTCAAACCCTGAGGGTCTTGCCTGACAGGCCACGTCAGGAAAAACGAAAAACAGAACATTTATACATTTTTCCATCTCCTTTTCTTATTTTTCTTCTTTTGATATGTTCAATTCATTTACATTTTCAGGCCTGTAAATATCACTCAAGTGTAACAACCTCAGAAAGGTAAAAACCACCTTTTGGTGGAACTGTTTACAACTCCCTGATAAAGATGTGTCACAAGTAGACATTGATTTATTTTAGGGAATCACTGATTGAGATAAATGTAGGAAGAAAAACTGTTTGGAGTGTTTTTGTAGCTTTTGCCCATGTGACTCACCCACTGAGGTTGGCATCTCCCCCCACTGCAGCACCACGTCCTTGGTGATGCGTCCATAGGTGTTGACGTAAACGCCCTCGTCCTCGTAGCACACTAGTAGCTCGATGCCGTCAGTGTTGGGCAGGATGATGATGGCGTGAGACTGGATACTGGTCTGGATCTGCAGGGACACGCAACACCAACAAGAGGAAATTATTTAACTGCACCTTTGGCATCTATGATCAACTACAGCAGCTGAATATGTAATGTGTAAGACAACTATTAAAAGACTTGACTTAAAAATTTAGTCATAAATTCAAACTCAGTTTGCCTTAACTGTGGAACCCAGGTAGAGAGCTGTAATATCCTTTAAGGCACCAGCAAACACACATGTGAGATGTAACGTTTGTGTGGTCTTACGTGTGTGGGCAGGTAGATGTCGTAGACAGCGCCAGAGTCGACATCCACGGCGTGGAAGCCTGAAAATGAGCCGTAGATGACCTTTAACCTCTGGCCTTCCTCCACGGTGAGGTCGACCAGCAGCGGCTTGTGCACCAGGTCACCGAAAGACTGAAGCACACAGGTCAGAAAAACAGTTTTTTCCCCCTCTCTTATTCATCAGCCAGATCAGTAAATATTTGCCGGGCCAATGTAGCCAGCTGTACAAACTGTTTTCATTGAACTGAGATGTTAAAGCAACACGTAAAATATAAAACTCTCTAAGAATTTAATCTATGACCTATTTTATACCTTCAGCAGCATCAACATGCTGGATAAAAATAACTCAATCTCAGACTAAGAAAAAAAAAAAAACATAAAATAAATTGTAAATACACCAGAAATGCACTAAAGATCCACTTCACTAATGTCATACTTTCATGTGTTTGTCGTGATTGACATCAAAGCTAGCAGACTGACTCACCTTGAAGGCCATGAACTTATGGTAGGGCTTGGGTGCCCAGGCGTAGACCTCCACTGAGTTCTTCAGAGCCAGAACCAAGAATTTGATCCTCTCATATTTCACTGGGAAACAAAAAAGAAAAACCGAAACATTAGAACAACACAAAATATCGTAATTGGCATCAGGATGGGAAGTTTCAAACTAAAATGTTGTCCGGTTTTTGTTGCTGTGGACTCTGGCAGGTTATCCATCACCATTTTAAACTTCTGTTTGAGACACTGTAGCTGTTAGACAATAGATTCTTGGTTTGACACTTTACCAATAAAACTCATTTGTTTCCTTTCCTGCTGCAGTATTTAGTGCCGTTTAGAGACAAATGTGAAAACTGCCCATCCCTGCCCAAACTACAGAATGATTGCATTTAATTCCGTACCTGTTTAAGCTAATTTTCATCTGGATTCATTCATTTTTTGAATAAAAATGAAAGTTATTCACCCAGTATATATATAATAATAATTCTCTCAAACATGGCTTGTGCAGGCAGTATCTTGTTCTAGGATGTGAATGATTAATTTACTGTACGCTGTAAATATGAGAGGGTTTAAAGAAGATTTAATAACCATTTAGATGTTGCTGAATGTATCTCAGCATTAAATTAAATGTTCTCTTCATTGCTCCTCTTTGACCAACCATCAGTTGATGACTTTTGAGATTCTCACAATGGAAGACGTCCAGCTGCCATCCACTTCAATTTAGTACTTCCAATGTGCAGTAAAACTCAACCAAGAACGACCAGTGGGTGACAGTCACAAAAAATTGTGCAGAGTTGGGACTATGTAAGAGTTTTTTTTTACAAACGCTCATTTAATCATTGTCTTTGGAAAGTCCTGTACTTCCCAGAAGTGTTGGTTCTGTCTCTGCCAGCTGTTAAAAAATGTATCTGACGAGACATCGATGAAGACGTACAACACGTATTAATAAAACTTATCGTCAGGAAATGGATTTCACGAAAAAGAGCTCTGATCAGTGGAGAGGAGTTTCCAACAGGAAGTGCTGGTCTCAGTGCAGTGGCACTACCATCACCAAGGACATTCTAAATTTTAGACAGGACGGTGTAGTTACATGTCGACTCGGATGTCATTACTTAATCAAGGGCTTTCCTTCCATCGACAGGCTTGTCTTGTAAACATACAGTCACTCTGTATCTTATACTGAGTTTGTGACGTTAGTTGAGTCCTGTGTTTGAAAGATATGGCTGGGTTTATTTTTGATGGGAAACGTATTCATAACACAGCACAGATGGGTTAGCTCAACAGAGACCATTATTCTCAACATACACACAACAACATTATTTAAAACTGTCAATCAGTAGAATTAGGGATAAATGATAATGACTTTTAGAAACACCACAGTAAAGTAGTGCCAACCATTGCCAATTTGAACATTTAAAAAAAAAAAAATTCAATAATAAATATAAACTAGCTTGAGATAATTTAGCATTTTTGCCTCCATTTGATGGGTAACAGCAGCGATAGGAGGTTGCAGTTACACAGTATGCATCTGAGACCACTAGGCCACAGGGAAGGCCAAACGTTGCAGTATTTATACCAATAAATGTGGTGAAATCCCTAATAGTGAGAATGTGACTTACCAACTTTGTAGTGAACACAGCCCTCCAGGTCTCCGACGGTGGTCCAACCCTGTTTCTTCTCCACCTCAGGGTCATTGTGCAGGATCTTGTTCCTCAGCCAGGACAGGTAGTACACACGGAGCTTGTTCTTCTTACCTGTCGTTGATCAAGAAAGATCAAATCGGTTCAAATCTATTTTCGTCTTCAACCTTTTAAAGAATGAGTGAAGAGGCACAAGTAATTAGTTGGCTGTGATTCAGAAATACTGCCGACTTTGCATTTGTGAATTTTGCAGCCTAATCTGCCTTCTGCAGTCTATGCAGACCCCGATGCAAGCCGAAATGCATTGGTCTCACAATAAAGTTGTTCTTTATACTGTGTTGCAAGACTTTGACAATTCAAGGTAATCCTGAAAGACTTATAATGTTATTTTAGAACTTATTGGCCGCTGTGTGCTTGCTAAGATTTCATTTTAGGCTGCAATGATTTTCAATTTCATTTGCATTCTTATTTTTACTACTGAAACAATCAATCCTAATTAATACATTTCATATCTCACGATCCTGTGGTGGGATTTTTCTCCTCCATCCTGTATGTCTGCAGTGTTTTGCAACATTTTGGGAAGTTTGTTATTGTGAATGTGGGTCAAGTTGGGACAAAACATGTAGAGGAACACTATGTGTCAGTGTGTGCACATACATGCAGACAGAACAACAATACATGTCCAGCAGTTCCTCTTCTTAATTTGTTTATTCTTCCAAATAATAGTAACAACGAAATAGTTTGGCTTTGTTTAGCTGTATTCAGTCAGTAAAACATTTTATGAGCTCTTTGCTGTCCATCCATATCATGCCAGCGTCATCATATAACTTAAACACTTCAGTTTCTACCAACTGTTTTCAGTTTCTACCAACTGTTTTCAGTTGAACGTGACATTAAATTTTTCCTTTAAGTGACAACTGGTTTTGTGTGGGAGTAGCTGCAAAAATCTGCAGTTCTTTGAACGGCCACTTGTGGCTGGCTGCAAAAACAAGTCAATCTCCAAAAGGCCCCATATTAAAATGCCCAACTTTATAGCAGAAATAAACATGTTTACTGCCTGGTACAGAAATCAGTTTTGGTCTGCGTCCATTTTTAATTATACAGCCTATGCTCTGAACGAGCATTAACTCAGAATTCTAAATAACAACTATTCTAACTCAAATCCTGGTATGACCACTGTACATCCCAAGTGAAATCTATTTCTGTATAAAAAATACACTTATATTTGTGAGAAGAATACTGGAAAGTAATTTCTACAAAATAATGAAATATTTACCGAATTATCGAAATTACCTTCATTCTTGGAGCTTGAATGTACAATATATGTTTATGGGATAAAAGACAGACATGCTAGTACTTTGTACCTGTGAGGAGTGATCCAATTGAAAAACTGAATTTAAAAATGTAATATTACATGCTCAGTTATGTGTTTCTAAACCCCTTATTATTGTAGGTGTCTTTTGGCAACAAAGTGCACAGTCAAGTAAAAAAAATTCGTAAGGACAGAACCAGAGAGTACACCTTGTTCATGCATTCTTGCATCTGCATTTTGTGCAGCTGTTTATCACAGAGGCAGCTGGCACCCTGCTGCACTGCCAACCACATCCAGTAATGTCATAAGAAATAATATGTTTTTAAGAGATTAAGCAGCGGACACACATACACTGATGGACCAGCCTGTCAGGATATGGCCTGAATGTTCTTACAGCTTTACAGTGGAGGTGGATACAAATTTCCATGACGCGTATCTATACCTCTCAGCAACGCAAACGAGTTTCATGGAAGGAAATCGACGCGTGTTGCTCTGGCGTTTCCTTCCATCATGGAAAGCTCAAGTGTGTGTCATATCGTACACACACACACACACACACACACCACACGACGTGGTCTCACCAAGCTGAGATTTACTCAATATCCGTTTAGCTCAAAATATCTGTTGTGACATTTATGACTGCACTGCCGCTGTGTGTGAAATTGAGAAAGAGCAGAAGTAAGAACATGGATACGCTGTCAATCTGAGAAATCTTGGAACTCAGCTGTGTGTCTGTGTCTAAAAATATTTATGCAAGAACAGACACAGACGCACAGAGTTTTCCTGTTAACACGATGAAGCAGGTTTTGGTTAAAGTGTATTTCCAGGAGTGTGTGGGCATGTGTACAAGTCAGGAAGAGAAGTAAACGAAACAAAATATACTCTCTCACACACACACACCCACACACATACACTTGCCAGCGTGACAGTGGACTATGAGCTGACACAGCAGGATAAAGAGAAGTGAAACTGCTTTTCAGTCTCATATTGAATTATAATAATAATAATAATAATAATATTGTTGTGTCTATGTCTGCACGACTTATGTGTGGTTACATGTTTGCTTCAGTCCATCTCATTGATCAGCTCTTCATCCCGGTGGGACTCATTTGGCTGCATAAAGTGTAATCAAACCATCTTTAAAATGTGTGTGCATGCTCTTGTGCATGAGTGTGTGTGTGTGTGCGTGCGTGTGTGTGTGTGTGTGTGTGTGTGTGTATATGTACCTGATATAGTGACCAAGACATTGAGTCCCTCCAGGACGTCCATCTGCTGGAAGCGCCGTCGGTTGATCAAAGGGTAAACTTTACCCTGACCACTGCGATCCAACAGCATCAGACCGCTCTCTGTTCCCACCAGCAGGTTCACTCCTACACACACAGACACACACATATATATATATATATGTATGTATACACCACAGCTGGAAATACAGTATGCATCCTGGTCACATACAGTCATGGAAAAAATTATTAGACCACCCTTGTTTCTTCAGTTTCTTGTTCATTTTAATGCCTGGTACAACTAAAGGTACATTTGCTTGGACAAATATTATGATAACAACAAAAATAGCTCATAAGAGTTTAATTTAAGAGCTGATATCTAGCCATTTCCATGGTTTTCTTGATAATAACCAAAATCACTTAAGTTCTTACATCAATAGCTATGGCATTGTACTGCCAAAAACAGTGCTTTTAGGAATTCCATGTTTTCTTTTCTGCCTGTTTTAGTCACATGATACACACAGGAGTTAGTACTTGATTGCATAACCATTGTTTTTGATGACTGCCGCCATGCATCTTGGCATGCTCTCCACCGGCTTCTGACATTGTTCTGCTGTAGGGCTGCAACGATTACTCGAGTACCTCGAGTAACTCGATTACAAAGAATGATTGAGGAATTTTGTCTGCCTCGAAGCCTCATAAAGCTCGCGTTTTGCACGGATTCTTTTTATTGTGACACAACGTGCTTACGTCACAGGCTATGCGTCCCCTACAACGTGGAAGAAGACAGAAGCGGGCTCTGTAACGTGTGTGGACAGTTTTGCTGTACAGAACGGCAGACGCCGGGACTGAAAACTGAAAACAGTGATCTGTCTTGTTTTCTACTGTATATTTATAATTGGGCTTTAATTAAGCAAAAGTATGTTTTATCCGATTACTCGATGAATCGATGGAATATTCTATAGAATACTCGATTACCAAAATATTCGATAGCTGCAGCCCTATTCTGCTGTCACAGCAGCCCATTCCTGTTGCAAAAATTCAAACAAATTTGCTTTGTTTTTGGGCTTGTGGTTCCTCATTTTGAGTTTGATGATGTTCCACAGGTTTTCAATTGGTTTCAATCTGGTGATTGAGCAGGCCAAGGCACGGTTCGAAAGTTCTGGTTCTCCATCCAGGCTTTAACTGACCTTGCTGTGTGGCAAGGGGCATTGTCTTGTTGGAAAATCCAGTCATTCGAGGCAGGAAAGAGTTAATCAGCTGATGGAAGAAGACTGTTTTCAAGAGTAGCCCTGTACGTGACCTGGTTCATTCGCCATTCACACAATTGCATTTGCCCTGTTCCACCCATAGTGAAATAACCCCAGATCATCACCGATCCACCCCCATGTTTTACTGTAGGGGCAAGACAGTGTGGTTTGTAGGCTTCTCCAGGTTTCCTCCTAACCAGTAAGTTGGCTGGAGTGGGCATCAACTCAAAATTGGATTCATCACTGAAGAGAACCTTAGCCCAATCATCAACAGTCCAATCCTTGTGATCCCTAGCAATGGTAACCGGGCATTCCTCTGCCTTTCGTTGATGAAGGGCTTCTTCCGTGCCCTGTGTGACTTCAGACCAGCTTCAAGAAGTCGGTTTCGAACTGTCACTGAACAAGTCACATTTCTCGACAGTGCCCACTCATTTTTAATGTCCCTGGAGGTCTGACGACGATTCCTGACACAGGAACAGATGAGTGCACGGTCATCTCGTGGGGTAGAAAGACGTTTCCTGCCTCGACCAGCTTGCAATTTAGTAGAACCATGTTTGGCTTGCTTTTTCTTGGTGTAATGAACGGCTGTCTTGGAGATCTTCAGTTTTTTGGCTACCTGTCTTTCACTCATGCCAATTTCCAGCAGTGCCAAGATGGCTGCCTTTGTGGCTTCACATAATTCTTTTTTTTTTTGGCATTATGTGAGAGCTGACAACTTCTGAGTTGTGCTACGGCTTGAATGTAAGCAGGACACCACTCTAGGCCTTTGCATGTGCAGTGCTGCTTATGACATGAAATGGCCTCTTATGTACCCTGGGAATACAATTAAGCTTAAGCATGTCAAATAGGACATAAAGTATTATGGAATAAGCTGCATCTTTTGTCGTGTTCATTTAATTCTTCAGGTAATATAGCTTTAGCGGTACCAGGCATTAAAATGAACAAGAAATTGAAGAAAACAAGGGTGGTCTAATATTTTTTTCCATGCTGTAGATATCAGTGTGTAGCTTAATAGGGCTTTGCTGCCACCAGGTGGTGAGAACATTTATAGCCACCACTTCTAGAAAAAGCTATTTTGATGGACTCATGTTATTACAAATTTACTTCAACGTTGCCACAAAAGGTTATAACTTATACAGCAAACAAATACAATACAAATTGAAACTAACTTAACATTTCAATCTAAAACCATTTGGATGGGGAATGTGAAAGCAAAAAGGGTGATTTCTGGAAATGATGGTGTGATTCCTGATGTGTTTTTTAAAAGTACAGCATCAGAATATCCCTGTTAAATGAACAGTAGATTTGTAACTCCTAAATCAATAAGACTGTGGTTGAGTCAACAGGTAAATTTAACATTTATGATACAGCTTATTGTTATTGTGTTTGTCAAAATAAAACCATGTTTCTCATTAGCCCCCTTGCTTCAAGCGGATTTCTTTCCTTTTTTAAGTGTTTTGTGTCTACATTTTACCCCAGAGTGCAGCGCACAGGATCTCAGAGTTGAACCTCTTCTTGTATTTGCGGATCTCCGGCGTGTCGCTCTGCGGGCGAGTGTTAACTGGGTTAACGTTGACCACGGAGCCCTTTCGAGATGGGTCAGCCCTCAGCGCCTCTGCCAGGCGGGCGTCGTTTCCATAGCCTAAAAGGTCAAAGGGAAGGGCTTAGGTAGGACAGTGTAGGATGTAGAATTTACCGGGCAGGGTGGGGGTCAGTCAGATGGTCAGCATTAGAAAGATGGATGGATATCCTTAGTTTGCTTTTGTTCATTTTGAGTACAGGACTGATAAAATAGTCTGAAATTGAAGGCTGGGGAAGTTTGGACAACAAGAATAATTTGGTTATTATCCAAGCAACTGATCTACTTCAAAAGACAGAAAGTTTCTCATTTGTTCTACCATGTGGGATTCATAACAAGCTACGCAATGTCAGAATACCTCTGCAGCCACAGTGTATATAATCATATTTCATAGTGTTTGTGTCAGAAAGTCTGCCTCTCTTGAATCGCCATCTGGACCTAAGACATCTGTAGGAAAATCTAAACTCATCAAATCAGTGATTAAATGCAGAATGAACAATCTAGTGTACTTAAGGGGTCAATGGCTGGCCACCAGCTGTATCAGGTGAGGTAATGGCTCAGCATACCAGAGGAAAGATCTGGCCTTGATGATGACCAATCCTCTGAGGGATGATGGGAACAGGAGGACTGCCTTGATAAGAAGGCTTTGTTTATAAACTGTGGCGGCTAACAAGTCCACGCTAACAAAATTTTTCTCTGAAGGTTTTACACACTCAGGAGGATGTTTACCCCTGTTCCCTCCAGAGGAAAGGTTTTTTGGGTGTTTCTGTGTATTATGTGATAAAAATAAACTGAATTATAGCGAAAATGAAGTGTAGATAAAGAAAGTGAATGACATTTTTGTTGTCAATCCTAACTGTCCCAGTTCTTTCCACTTCTGATTTCCCAAACCTTAATGTTCCTGAAATAGAGAGCACCTCTACACACTCAAGGAACTTTTAATAGTTTAACTTTGCAGCTCCTCAGTTCCTCCAGTTCCTGGATATTTTGATGGAAAGGCCTAAAGAGGCCTGGGATTAAAAGTAAGTTTGTTATTGTGAACCTTTTGGCATCTGATTATTCCCAGCAGCCAATGGGAGACGGGACTTACCGACGTTGTTGAGAGCACTGCCAGTGGATGGAGAGACTTGGAGGAGGCGTGGGTCGATGAACGGAGTGAAGGAGGAAGAGGACTTGTGTTTCTGCATGTTGTTACTAGACTGGCTCTACAGTGAGATAGAATAAGACTTAGTGGTAGCAGAATATCACGTCTCTGAATGGGTTATTTTTGGAAAAACATATTTACAGCATTAGATGCCTCAAGATAACAATTCATGTAAATGATTCAGACAATGTAGTGAAACAAGCAGGCAAACTGAGGTACTTCTGTATGTGTTGCATGCATATACAATGGGCATTCAATCCGAGAGTAAAATGATAAATACTGAGGAAAAAGGCAAAAACAATGGTGGTGGGTAAAACATATGGAGTGCTGTTGACAAAAAGGGGGAACAAAAATGTGGTTTAAAAAAAGTATTTCCATGGGAAACATACTTGCCGTTACACTGTTTGCTATGATCTATTGTCTGGGGAATCTGAGAATATGACTCGTTTGCTGAAAATAGGCAATGTCAAGGAATAAAATGAGTTTAGATGTTTGGGGGAACGCTTGTAAAACCACAACTAGTCTCAGAGGACGCTGAATCTCAACCAGAGCTAACCGGTCTGTTTTGATCATAAATCCAGAACTCACTGAAGCTAGTGAGAGCTGTAAATCCTTCCCCTAAAGTAAACTTTATGTCTTTTAGTATTTTAAACCAAAGTACTTCAAAATATGTGCAATAAACTTGAGAAAAAAAAGTGCTTTGTCTTCCAGTCGTATTTACAAATGATGCCAAAAATGCAGCCCTCCACCAAAACCAGCATCTGTCTGCAGGAAGCGTATGTCAGTAGAGCTAGAGAGGGCTCGCCAGTGCCAATGGTGACCAGCAGAGGGCACTCTCTAATCCAGGACATAAAAATTTATTTAGGAGAAGACATTATTATCATGGCCGGTCAGAAGTTGGAAACAGCAATATGAGCAGAATTTAACATGTTTTTTCATAATATTATTTTTTATGTTTTTTTGGTATTTTGGCTGCTACTGCTTGGATTGCTGTGAACTCACATAACTATAATGTAGCCAACTTCAAACATACATCCCCTTTGGGTATTGAGCTGAACTGGTTTCTACTCTGTGTTTCCAATTATGGCAGGCCATGATGATTTTGACCTCTCTTTGCTTCCTCCTGTTCCAGATTTACATCAGAAACGGCACCCCTAAGCGGATGTCCGTGTTCGGGCTGGGGTGGGAGGGACATACCTCTGTGAGGATGCTGAGCTTGTCCAGGGCACTCTGGGGGGACATGGAGGAGGGGCTGGCAAGGCTGGAGGAGGAAGGGGAGTTGGATGTGGAGGAGGAGGGGGAGGAATGGTGGCTCTGTTGGATCAGGTCTGGGAGGTGGTGGATGCGGCCGGCAAAGCCGTTCCTTTCGGAGTGCTGTGTGGGGTGATGTTGGTGGTGGTGGTGATGATGATGGTGGGGGCTGGGGGTGAGGAGGCCGAGGCCCGGGCCCGAGCCGGGACTTGGGGCGAAGCCTGCAAGCAGGCCGGGGGTCTGGGCTTGGCCCGGGCCGGGGCTCGGACGCTTTCTGTTGTCACCTGCACTCTGGAAGTAGAAAGAGGGGTACACGACTTTGGGTCTAGATGTGTTCCTGATGAGTTCAGGGGAAGGGAAGGTGCTAGCTAGAGCAAAGGGCAAACTACAGTGGCTGCTCTACAGGCGGAAAGAAAACTCTCATTAGTAGTCAATTATATGCTAAACTAATATGTCAAATCATCTTGTGGTGTTTATAGGTACTAAATACATGTGATAACTGTTAATGTATCAACTGATGAAATAATCTAGATGTCCTAAATGGATTACTGACAAAACCTGAATAAATGTTTGATAATAAATTAAATCCTTTTTACTGAATTAGATAATGATCTTTACGTGTTATTAAAGGCTATGTGGTTTTATAACCAACATACACTAAGCTTCTGTAACAATGAGCTGCTCCACCCACCACAAAGTATACAAGAACAGAAGGTGAGCAACACAACATACAAACAAAATGGAAAAAAACACTTGGGGTATGAATGAACAAAATACACAACAGAACTCAAAGTATGTGGTAAATGATTGGTTTGTTTGTCTGAGTTTTGTTGTTTTTTCTCTTCAGCCAGTACCTGTCTGACGATCAGTGTGCTGTCTTTGCAGGGCGTCGAGCCTGCATCGCTCTCGCCTTCATCGTGAACAATCATGGTTTTCACTGACTCCGTCTCTCCATTACTCAGCCTGGACGAACTGTGGGAGGGGAGAGGAGCTATTCAACACAAACACATTATGTTTCACGCTGGTAGAACATGAGGAAAAAGACGATCTCTGTATTCCCTCCTTCACCAACATGCAGTTCTGTTTACGAGGACTCTGACCTGTTACTGACTGGTCCATGTTATATTGTCAATGCAAAGTGTGTATGAGATCAGATGTTTACATACACAGCTCTGGAGTCCTCCGGCCCAGAGGTCGACTCTTCGCCGGCCTCCTGGTCTACCTCCTCATCGTCATCTTCATCAGTGGTGTCTGAATCTTCACTGGAGGATGAATAATCTGTCACCTTATTTTGGGGGCGAACGTCATCCACTGCACGCAGCTCTTTGGCCAGAGCCGTCAGGTCCTAAAGGTCAGGAGGTGAAAGGTAAAACCCGGGTCAGAGGTCATTTTGGTCTCACTGAGCACCTCTATTTTTTCTCCCTGTCTTGGAAGTTTGTCCATTCTTCATCTGAGTCATTAGCTAAGATGTCACATGAGATTTTCAGTTAATATTCCTTTGGAAAAGGCAGGAAAGAGAAAGCTGCTAGAGAAAAAGAGTGGTTATAGAAGTACGCCAGACAATGAGAAGCCAACGTGAGAGCAGCAAAGCCAAAAGATGAAGCGAGGAAAGAGATGTCGTTCAGCTGATGCTCTTCAATCTACTGCAGGTTAGGTTAGTGGATTAATTCTAATAATGAGACAATCATTAGTGCTGCAAAGATGAAAATTTTGAATTAAATTATGTATTTTTTTTTTTTATTGAGGTTAGAGAAGGTATGAGTTAAGATGGCCACCACTCAGGCAGAAAGACCAGTAGAGAGAAAGCAAGCGATAAGTGCAGAAAACCTTCAGCCAGTGAGCTCAATCCAAAGACATCACCATTTCACAACCAGATCACATGACACAAGCTGCAGGAGGCAGTTCAGTATTATTCAAACACACGCATAAAAGAAAATCTCCTATTAGGCCACGCCAAATCATCGTGCTCACTCCAGCTTTCAGACAAACCCAGCATGTGATTATGACTATACACACACACACACACACAGTTCTAGATCTAGATCCATCCCAGCTAGCGAGCTACAGTACTGGCTAGTCAGCTTTGAGTCAACTCTCACCGCTGGTCTGTTTGGCCTGACCAAGTCCCTCCTCTCCTCTGGTTTTTTCCCAGCATTCTCTGGCCGTTGGAGGGGTGAACCCTCCGATTTGGAAGAGGCTGAAGGAGGTGGAGGTGAAAAGGTCAGTTTATTCTAAAAAGTGATGTTGGCAAAAAAAAAAGCAAATCCAAATGTGTATGTGTTTGTATAGCTCCTTCACTAAATGCTAATGCTTCAGAACAGCTATTTTAAGGTGTTTCAGTTATATTGTCCACCTCCGTCATGTTCGTAAATGCTGATTTGTTAAGCGTGTGTGGACTCACAGCGGGCCCTGAACCTCTCTCCAGAGCCGCAGTGAGAACCGGGCTGAGAACTGGAGTTACTGGAGCTGCTGGAGGAACTGGAGCCTCCGCTGCCACTGTTACTGGTTGGTTTGGGAACCAGTTTCTCCACTCGCTCCCACAGCAGCCGAGGCTCCGCTGCACTGTAGAGCCAACAGACACCGGGGTCAAGAAAGTTAGAAATGAGGTCATTGTAGAGACACTTGCTTTTAACTGGTAGGGTTACAGAAGTGCTGTTGCACCAGAGCTACTGCACACTGTGGTTGATGTTTTTTTATTCAAACATAGAAACTTGTATTTTTATATTCAATACGCTAATAGGTAATATTTTGGGCTGATTTTCAATATCTTAAAATTAAATTCAAATTTACTTCTAGCGGCTCAGAATGTGTTTCAGTATTAAACGGTAAACTAATAACAGAATTTTCCTGTTTAACATGAAGACGTTCAAGAAGACAAGTACAAATATGCTAAATAAGTAATAGTACAGTAAGAACAGAGTGTATGTTGTTCTAGAGATGAAAAAATTAAACTGCACCGCAGGGATGGAGGAAGGGAGAGAGATAACAGAATCTCATGAGAAGGCTTGTGATTTGGAAATTGAAAACTGTGTGTGAACAAACACACATTCACACACAAGTAAAGAAGTATCACAAGGTTAGACAGCTAGCACTATTACATAAACCCTCCCACACAACTCCATAGACAATGACTATAGCAGCACAAACAGTGAAGACACTGAGTGCACTGACTGTACAGACACAATCCTGTGTGTTTGTGTGAGATTCATCTCCAAACAAGGCAAGTGGGGTTTTTTGCCACAGTCGTTGAGAAGGCCATTGTTTTTCATGTCTTTTTAATTACATAGTTAAAAACAGCAGCTGGTTTCACAGTTTCACAGCACTCAGACTCCTCTCCTAGAGGCTGCAAATGACTTTCTTCAACAAATTGACATTGTGGCGTTTTAGTTCCTTAAGATTTAATTTGTGTCAAGAGTCCTAGACTGATTCAGCTCCTATAAAATGGTATAGCTGCTCAGATATATTCTCCTTATTGATATAACCAGCGGAGTCCCACAGGGCACTATTCTGGGCCCATTATTTTTATTTTATTTTTTTTTACATTATTTACAGAACCGTTTGTTTTGCATCTCCTACGGTTTTTATATTACCAAGATGAACAATATGCCAAACCATGCATATTTTTATTGTATTTTTATAATAGGTATTATTTATTTATACATTTTATACTCATAACGATTCAATTTTTAAATACACACACACACACACACACACACACACACACACACACACACACACACACACACACACACACACACACACACACACACACACACACACACACACACACACACACACACACACACACACACACCACTTTAATTTTCAAATAATCACAGAATCAGACATCAGAGGGGTTATGTCAGTTTACCTGGCAGCGTTGCGTGGCACAGCATGGCTGCTGTGTGAGGCGTTGCCATGGTGATGAGGCGAGTCTCGCCTTGACAACACCGGGGACCTTGATGTAGTCCTGACAGGAACCTTTTGTGATAAAAACATTGACCAGCTCACACATACACACTCTGTGTGCATGATTGTGATTGATAATACAGCGAGTACATAAAATACACAAACATACTGCAAATCCTTTGTAAAGGGTTTGCAGTAGCATCAGAACAACCCTGGTTGGCACCATCCAACTAATTTCTAAAACAATCTATATTAGACACAGAAACACTCATTTATACTAGTCAAACAGCAACATGAGCTGTGAATGTCTGATATGGCTGAAATGACACTGTGTCTTATCAAAATGTAAATACCTGAATCTGCAAACCAAGAGAATGCAGCACTTCTCTAAATTACATACATTTTTTCATTCCACTCGTGCACCACAGAACACATGTTCTGGACAAGTCCTCCACCAACTAAACCCCTCATCTCCCCCTACCGTGCCCGGAGCACCACTGTAAAATAGAACTATCACACCAGTAGTCACTGGTCACACACATGGTCAAACCTTCCTAATTCACATGTAAATTCAGGAAAGCCATTTCAGAACATTTGGTAGCATCCAAAGCACAACACAGCAGTGCAGAGCAGAACTCCTAGTCACAGCAGCCAATATCATTTAGAGTAACACTGAACAGCCATTATTTAGCTTTGTTTAGAAGTTCAAGTTAGGGACAAAATGGAAAGGCTATGGACTGATGTTAATGAATGGTCAGTCTTTTCTTAGTAACATGCTTCTCTATTTCAAGACTGAAATGACTCTTGTGATTTTTACCATTGTTTACCTGATGCTTGTGGAGACGTTTACGTCGTATTCAAACTCTATGTACTGTACAATTAAGTCTTGACAGGGTGGTGGTTCAGCTTGGCAGCAGTTCTATTTATAACAGAAGGTTTCTTTTTCTGGTGGGCAACACTCTATGGACTGCATTTAGATCTTTTCAATTACGTTTTGGGATTCTAACTAATCACATTTGTGGGTAGTACCACATAACTTTTCTGTCTTTCCTATACTTAGACATAGCGTCTAACAGGGTATACATTCAGGTGGGAAAAACTTCTGTAAAGAACTCCTTTGCTTATTTTTCTCTCTTTCTGCAGCTATTTTTATGTCCTCTTGTGGTTGTACAGTAAAAGGCTAAATTAGTATGGTAAGGCAAGAATAAACAACATGAGACACACTGTCTCAACTTGTCCTAGTGTTTAGCATTATCACCATATCAAAGGCTAGGGTTATACAGAGGTCACAGACTGATTGTTGTGGCTCACATAACAGCAAGCTACCTCTCTTTATGTCAGCACTGATTCACATCACACATGACGTGAGCTTCCTCCTTCACGTGATATAATGTGTTTCGGGGGTATAGACTTAGAACAATATCTGATTTCCTCTGGAAGCCTTGGATAGACACTGAAGCTTGTTGTTGTGGAGAGAAGTGATTTAAAGCTGCCAACCAACCTGCTTTTTTTTTTTTTTTTTTTACAAACTTTTATGTTAAAGGCATACTATGCAGTTTTCTGGTTTTGTCAAACAGCTACCCCTAGAGTCGCTGCGGAGTACTTGTATTTAACGTTAACTGTCGTAAATACCACTCACCAGAGCCGTCTCTATATACGGCTCTACGTCTCTGCACTCACGGCCTGATCCCCTCCCCCCTGTATACCGGTACACGTTCAGTAGGATGGAAGCGTCGGACATCGAACAGGCAAAGATAGACTCTGAAGATGTCTACTGACCAGGTAACGTCTGAGTGAATGCCTGCTAGTGTCTTCCATTGAGGCTGCTTCTTATGGCGCTGATGTATGTGACGCCACCTTTCAGACTTGCATTGCTGGTTCTGCCAACGGCGTCCCTCTCCTGCTTTGCTATCGGGATGATTTCCTATACTAGGAGTTCGTTTACCAACGAAATTACTTCGAAGTTGTTATATTAAGGTACAAATCTTGCATAGTGTGCCTTTAATTTAATGTGGATTTAATTAAATCATCTATAAATACCCTTACAAGTTTTTTTTCTGCACCAAAAGAAAAGAAAATCCAATAAAGAATTAATTATTGATAGCATAAAGAATCAGGCTGAGGCTGGGAAGCTATTAAAGTAATGAATTTAACAGTTCTGGATAATGACAGATTGATCTCTTGGGATTTAGGACGGTTGTCCCGTTTGAAAATAGTGTCAAGTATCAAACTATTCCTGCCAGACTTCAACAGGAGTCTTTATTCCTGGCCTTACCCTGGGCGGTACTTCCTCTGAACGAGCCGGTTCATGGGGCGAGGGTCTAACCTGGGGGTGGGGTTTTGGTTCAGTGCGTGCAGGCGTTGATGATGAGGAGGATGGAGATGAAGATGGAGGGTGAAGGTGTTGGTGGGGTTCCTGGCTGTTGCGAAGGTGAAGATTTTCAAAGCTAGGGGCGATCGGCTCAGTGAAGGAGTGCGACCGAGACACAAGGGGCGGGGTGGCAGCAGAGGAATTTGATGAGGCCACGCTGCCACTGCTCTTTAAAGCAGCCAGATGGGAACGGACCTTACAGACAACAAAAACAGAACACATTGGGGGAGGATGGGTCAGTCTGCATGCAGTGCACTCAAACAAGGACAGGGGATTCAGAGTATCTTTAGGGGTTTGTCAGATTGGAGCCATACAGGAGCCTAAAACTGAACCTTGAGGAACCTCTGTGTAAAAGCTTTAGGAACACTATTAGCCCTTTTCAAACATGGAACACATAGCATTACTGGCTTTAGTCATTAAAAATTAGGTCTTTATTATGGTTTCATTCAGACAAGACAGCACTGGAAACAGCCATAATGCTTACGTGATATTTAAATTTTCAATTCAGTTCAATTGAGTTTTATTTGTATAGCGCCAATTCATAACAGAAGTCATCACAGGACACTTTTCAAATAGAGCAGGTATTTGACAGCTGGTGTGCAAAAAGGAGTGGTTCCAGCAGGGATGGTTAATGGTTAATATCAAGGAAGAAGAGGTTTTCTGTCTTCCCACAGGCTGTATCAGTGATGGATTTTAAAACTTATTTTGCTATTGTAAATACAGAAATAGAATTTTGTATTTATTTATTTATTTATAAATGATGGTGCCTTTTTTAAAACAACCAACTGTGCACAAATGTGGCATAACAAGGCATTACCTTGGTCCTCGCATTTAAATCCTATCCCTATTCCTATATGCCTGTATATAAACTGTTTTGCTGGTAATTTGTAAATGTCAGCCCTGCGGTTGGCATGGATGGAAATTAAGAAATTAAGTGATTTATTACAGAGCTCTTAAGAAGGAACATGACATGCATTTAATCTCTTTCTTTCTCGTTAATCTGACGACATTCAGTTCAGGCTGAGGACCCTTTTGCCTCAGTGGCACATAGTTGAAAAAATAAAGCTCCAAATTGTACCAGAGCCCCTAAAGAACCCAAGTCTTTTGAGCGCACTCGGAGGAGAGAAGGAACATTCGGAAATTAAAAGTACATACACGTTTTATCTGTCACACAGGCTGCACCTTTCTGGGTAGCAAAAGGAGGCCAGAAGGGAAGTAGGCATTTTACTAATTTGGGAGGAAAAGGTGCAGCCTGTGCAACTAAAAGTATCATGTCATACTTTTGATGGGTGACACAGGGAGGAAAAGAGAAAAAAAAAGACCAAAAAGCACCGGCAGTGAATGGAGAGATGAAGCTGAATGGATCCTGAGACAAGTATGGGTCAGACTCTTTGACTCAGTTATTTTAATCTTGCCCAATTTAGAATTATTGTTAATTGTCTGTACGAAATGATCTGGTTATACTGCCATTATATAACACTGTTATGTTCATCTTTTTATCCAACTTGTTGGATGTTGATAAAAATGTCAATCAAATACTAACACTATGTGGTAAATCAAGAATAACAAAAAGGCTCAAAGTATCATACACTTACATTTATGACTTAAAGATTTTTTTTCAATATCATAAAGGAGAAGATGACAAATTTATCTTTACAAAAGTGCTGAAATACTTTTAATTTCACCTAATCTACAATATGAAACATGACATGTAACTTCAGGACAATTTAAAGGACCAGTGTATAGGATTCAGAGGCTTCTAGTGGTAAAGTTGCAGATTGCAACCATTTCAATACAGCTCATTCTTCCAAGCATGTAGAAGACCAGTGGCCATGAAATTCACAACTCTATCTATAGCCAGTGTTTGGTTTGTCCGTTTTGGGCTACGGTAGAAACCGAAGAGAACCATGCTCATTCTGTGGATAAAACCGGCTTATTCTAAGGTAACAAACACAATGATTCTTATTTTCAGCTGATGATACATGAAAACATACCTATTAATATTATAGTAAATTTCTGCCAATAGATGCTCCTAAATGTTACACACTTGTCCTTTAAGATCTTGAACTCAGATGAAGTGATTTAAGACGAAGATGTTCCAGGCAATCTGTACTCTAGTAGGTCAAATATTTATTTTGAGTTTAAACTTTTAAAGTGAAGCGTTTCGGTATATGTTCTGTTTTAAATTTAATCTCCGGTGTTTCCTTTAAGACAAAGTGAGACTGCACATTATGTAGCATGTCATTAACGTTTAGGGTGAGACAACCTGGAGTCTCTCCCCCACAGGAGGATTCAGCTTCACCACCAGTAGAAAGCATGAAGATGAACTATATTAAACAGGGCATGAACACAGGCTGGCATGCAAACATACATGTAGGCACAACCACATACAGCTCATACAGCGTGCACACATCATGGTTGGGGCAAGAAAGCTATGGCCCACATCCAGTCTGGGTTTCTTTCAACTTAACCATGACCATGGTCTTCCCCCTACACTTAACCAAGTAGTTGTAGTTGTTTCAACATAACCAGATGTCAACCACAGTAGTTGAAGCTCATATCAGATGCCTTGTTTAAAACACAGCTTAATTTATGGGCTGGAAACCATGGGGTCCAGCACCATGAGATCAGATCAGGTTTCATATTGAGTTTTAAAAGGGAATATGATCGATTGCAGCTTTTGTCACTTGTAGTAGTTCAGACTGCAGTTTTCATTTGCATTATGTAATTAGCTGTAATCAGAAGACCTCAGAATGAACCCATCCAAGTTTGAGTCAGTACACAGTGAAGTATGTGCGTGTAACAATGTTAAAACACAACGCCACAACTCCGTCTGATGACTTATAGATAATGAGACAAAACTGATCAATACACATAATGGTAAATGATAAAACGCACCAGTGAATTACATCATCACCCCCCACCCCCATTTTTCTAACTTACAGCATCGTTTTTGTATAATTTAATCTGTGTGACATACTCAAAACAGATTGACTTCAATGAACTGTGATTATTCATGCTTAGTGGGTTGAATCCTTCGCTGGGAAGATGACTAATACTGTCTGAGTCACCCTGCTGCAAATCTGGGTGCCCATGAATTATGGATGTTTTTAATCACCAGCACACAACGAGGAGGTACAGTATGTGGAGCAGAGACATACAAACCCCCCAGCATACCACCAAACAATCACTCTCATGTTCACACAGACACACATAGGCATACAAAAAAAAGTGACTCTGTGGTAAGAACACATTTGAAAAATACTTTTGTTTGCTCTGACAAGTGGGAGGACAACCTGTCAATCAAAGAGTTAATCATGGGAGAAGGTGTATAATCAGGGTTGTGATCATTTCATTTTCATTGCCACAAAAAGTTTAGTAAAAAGGGAGAGTTCTTTTAGATGAAAAGAAAGACTTTCACAGACAGCCACTGGCTTTGTGTTGTGTCATAAAAAGCTCTGAAAATGAGCATTCTGTCATTAGCTTGGAGATTTAATGCAGTTTCACAATTTACACAAATGAGCGAATGGAAACAGAACTGATGACAACCCAGATGTTAAAAAGAGTCAAGAGAAGTTCAACAACAGCAGATAGTTGGATCCATTATCTGGATGAAACAGCCTGAAAGAGTTGAGCTGCAGACACAATCCAGGAAGGAAGAAATCACAGAAAATCAGCAACTCTAGGGAACACATCTCACATATTTTCAAAAATCCTAGTAAGCCTTTCACACCATAGAGCAAGGATATTGAAGTCACCTAAAAGAGAGAACCTTAAAGAGAGATTATGAGAAGAAAAAGTAAAATAACACAGGCAACATCTAGATGATGGGAGATACTGCCACATATAGGTGAAGCTACAAACGAGGATTTCCAATAAACTGGCATTTTGGAGATACAAGGTTTTCAATACATTTGACATGAATGCTGCAAAGTGAATGAGCTCCATTCACTGTTAGCAAGGTCAGTCCTGCCTGGAAATGAGCCTCCGCACTGTGGCAGTGTAAGGTTGCCAGCATCCTCGAAACAAAATCAAATTTGTCCCATTACATAGGAAAATGGCAAGTTTACAACCAAAAGGAAAATATTTGTGGGTTGATTAAGCTGATCGCCACAGTGTGTGCAGCCTGGCCAGCTGAACTTCAGTTTAAAGAGAGCTTTACCATCATTGTCTCTGTAAAGAAAACGCCAAGTCATCAAAAGAAACAAACCAAGTACCAGGTACCAAATATACAATTATTCAATTAACTGATTAGCTTTCCACTATTAAATTATTTGCCAACTGTTTTCATAATCTATTAATTGTTTAGAGTAAAAAAAAATGTTTATGTCCAAATTCTCTGATTTCAGCCTCTCAAATGTAAATATCTTGTGGTTTCTTTAGTGCACTATCTGTATCGTCTTATACCAGTCTTCTCTCACAAAATTTTAAACTGGTCCGTCTTTAACCTCAGTAGTAACGTAAGCATTTCCTGTAGCCGCTTCACAATACAATCTGCCAGTGGAAAGCTTTTAATTTGAAGCCACAACAAGAAGTCTCAAGTTTGTAATAAAAACATCATTGGGGTTCCAACACTGTGGCAAGGACTGTTAAGAAAACAGAAAGACAGCTGTTTGTTGGAGGAAGTATGAACAGGAAGGCAGGCGTCATGTGACATACAAGCATTGTCATATGACTCCATGTATGTTTACTTTTTGGTTTGAGTAGTCAGTTCTCCCACGGAGTCACACAATCTATGCTCTCTCTTGTGGAAATGATTGAACAAACAGACCAGGACCCGATGGGAGCATATTGGTTTTCAAGTTGAGAATGTGCTCAATCAGATTTACATTACTGCCAGCCTCAGTGCCTCCATCTGCTCGGTAAGCTACAACACAACTAAACCCTGGAACGCCAGCTCAAAATGCTACCTGTGTACAACAGCTGTGGAAGACCAAGGCATAGTTCAAGAGAATGTTGATGGGTCTGAAGATATGGTTATTACCTGTGGTTCCACAGGCCGGTGCATGGCGGGCACCTCGGATGCTGAGCTCCCATTGGGGTAGGAAGACTCGGAGCGTGGTGGCACCGGAGGCTGCTGTGATTTGGTCTGAGCTGACTGAGGAGAACCCTGGATGTTCTTCCGGTACCGCTCATCAGCCTAAGTAGGACACACACACACACACACACACACACAGACACAGCAGCATTAGCAGGGGTTTGAGAGTACAGGTCAGCGTGTGAGACCATAAACAGGAGAGTAAGTGGACAGAAGCCATTAGATGGTTTGTTAGTTTCCCCCTGCAGAGCAGAGACGTTTTGTACTAGCAGAGGTACAAGCACATCAGAAAGTCATCTGCTGATACAGGCACACCAGCAGGAACAACAAAACACTTCCTCAAGGTCAGCTGTGTTATTGTTGCCACAATATTCCCATATCCCTGCTAGTAGGACAGCAGCACCACGACCAGCAAAGAGTGTCATGCATTTTTCATGTGGAGTGAAAATCATTCACGGTGGAAACAGAAAGGTTAGGACACACACCGAGGTCCAGGACACTGATTCACAGTAACAACTGTGTGTTTTTTAGTCTGAAATGTCAAAGTTAATTGTAGGCAAAACAAGATAATCCAATCTTAATCTGAAAATTGCTGCTCCTAAACCTAACTTTCGCTCAGCTACTCTACAAATGAGCAGCATCTAAATGGAAGTCATCCCGCATCACTAGAAGAGTTCATTCTTGTTGGTGTGCATCAGTTTTAGGGCACTGACAAACTAAAGTGGTAAGCTGCAGAATCCATGAATATAATATCAGTAATAATAACGTTGTAATCAGAAAGTTCTCTGCTGAGATCTGAAAACGCAGCAACAGGGCTACAACAAAGTCAGACGGAGCAACCTGAGCAGACTGTAAACAAACATTTTAACCACATTATCCAAACCACTTTCTGTGGAGTTAAATCTGTAATAATCTTTTATGGTGAGTATGGTAGGTCCACGTTGAACCAGGAAGTCATTCTATGAACTGTGTGGGACAGTTACAGCCGGCAGGTGGGGGTAATAATATTACTGTTCACTTTTGTTTTCTCTTCCAAAAGACTCATCTGACTGTGTGTCTTCCCCATCTAATGTTTTGCATTGAACTTGATGATTACTCTATCATTACAGAAATGATGGTCAAACTGTGAAAAGTTTATCCTCCAACATGGCTGCCACAGTGTTTTTTTTTTTACATCAGTTCAACTTCAAAAATCTAAAAGACATTTGAATTTCCAGGCAGTTCCTGCGTCACCAGACTGTATTTAGTGCACAGTGCTTCAGCAAAAACTACATGCAAACAGCATTTGGTCAGTCAGGAACTGGTTTGTGTCTCTCTCCTTTCGCTCCCCCACCAGGTGATAAATGGCAACAGCAGGATCCCAAAAAGAGAGAGACAGGGAGTCACACTGAGGACTAATGAGGCAGCTCATTATTACAGTAACTTCATTAATATGGTGGTATAGACAACAGCGCGGCCAATTAGAGGAGCAGTAGTACCCTCAATGAGGAGGAGAACCTGTTCATGGGGGGCATTTCACAGCAAACTCTTCACCCAAAGTGATTCAACCATGAGGAAAAAAACTCTTAAATGATGTGGGCTAGTGTTTTCGAAAGGAATCCCAGGAAAGATCAGTTTGGGAAGAGATCAGATCGGAGGCTTTGTCAATATTTCTGGCCTTTGAGCTGAAAAAATAGTAGACCTTTTAGGTTTTTAAAGGGCTCTACATTTCAACTTCACTTGAGCAGAAACAGCTACCTCATATCTGTTCTGTGAGATCAGGGAAGCCTTCTGTTAGTCCGCTATCACTGCAGTGTATTTGCGTCATGGACCACTCTAATTATTAGACTTATAAGTTTAGAAAGAGACATGAATACATTCTAGTCACTTAGCTCATCTACAAAGCGTTCACACATCCCACACCAGTAGCTAGCCTTCACCATGTACACACCGAACACCCAAAGCAGTGGGAGTGAGTACACACAAGCAGAGGAAGCATTCTACAGCAGTCAGTGCGACGGCAACGAGCTGCAAGGGATCACCTCTCTCATAGGCTCAGAGTCGGGGGTGGGGCCTTGGAGGTCAGCGACAGGTAGCTTGGGTTCTGTAGTTTTCTCCAGACTGTGATTTTGACTGGATCTTGTCTTTTCAAAGTCAGTGCTCTGTGGTGGTTTTGTCGTATCTGGTTCAGGGTTCTGCGGGGGCTTTATCCTGTCCTGTTCGAGGTTCTGTTGGGGTTTGGTGCTCTGTTGCTGGGCTGTTTTACTACTGTCCAAGTTCTGGTTTTGCTGAAGGGACAGCAGGTAGGCCTGCTCCTGCTGCAGCTGCCTCTGGAGCTTCTGGGCTTGGCGCTGCTCCTCAAGCTCCCGCCATTTATACTCCTGAGTGCAGGAAGGGTCAAGTTCAACCAAAAAAAAAAAAAACCTAGGGCAAGTTGTACCGTTTCCACAACACTGTGTTTTATTAATAGTTTATTCTCTAGGGGCCTATTCAGAGGACACCTCAGCAACTTTAATTCTTTCAGGGGTTCCCAAACATTCATACCTACGGGTAATTTAAGTCCACCTGATCTTCATGAGAATGCAATACGTGTAATGCATAATAAGTGAAAATGTTCTTCTTGCTGTAAAGTATTAGGAGTAACACTGTCCCCATATTACAGCTCATTTTCCAAAGCTCTGATGTGGTCAGCACACAACGGAAAGCCTCATCATGACCTTGTAATGGTGATATGCCAGGCAAAACTGCAGCAAAGGGACTGTATGAAAATGATTAGTGGGGGAGGTAGCCTCAGAAGGGGGAGAATTTTTTTTTTTTAATGTTTATAATTCTTTTGTGTTCAGGTGTTAAATTCCAATACACTTATTCACTTACTCATAATGCAGCTGATTCCACTCATAATGTGAACTTATTGGTCCATTAACATACCAAGCTTGAAATCAGATTTGAGTTGAGAAGTTATGGTACAGGTCTACAGGATCTGTCTTTTCCACGGTCCAGGCTACTTCAGGGGCATCCGGCAGCGTGACCTGCCAACTCTGGAATATCCCGAAGAACTTTTAAGCGAACCTTCGTCTATCTGCACGGCATATTTCTCGCCTCAAATATTTTCAGAAACACATTTCGCTGAAGGATTTTCAATATACAAAAGAAAGTAACCAAACGAGCCACCATGTCAGGGTTCCCTCTCTTTTTAGGAAATCATTTTCCAGGACTTTTTCACAGCAGCCATTTTGCCATGATATAGTAGGGTAAAGACAGGTGTAACCAATGATACTACATAAGGTTCGCGTCAGGTCAGACAGAGTGAGATGTGTTGGCTGGAAAGGCTCCATTACACTCAATGGGAAAAAGTTCCATTGACTACAGCTTTAAGGCAATATTGATTACCTCCAGTATATTTGGTCATTTTAATCCATTTCCGGGTGTTGCAATGACTGGAAAACTAGTTCCAAGTCTTTTTGGACGTTTGGGAACCCTGCATGTTGGTCTGGTTTAAAACCTGGGAGCAGAACGCATTTGTCCAATCAGGTGCAGCCAGGAAGTGTTTGTGCGGTTGTAGGAGGGTGTAACCTTCTGTTGGTCAATGTGATTACAAGCATCCAATGCTGGGAAGCGGCATGACCCACTGCATAAGAGAGTGAAGCTTTGATCAAAAGTAATTAAACCACTGAACTATTAAAACAGTAATATTTTATATATATATATAAAAGACTGTTCTTGTTAAGTGTTTGACTACTTTAATCCATGTGTGAAAGCCAATCATGATGAAAAGCAAACTTGTTTCTTTCAAAGTAAAATGTATAAGTGGTGACTGGGTAGAGTGATACGAGGCCTGGAAGTGGGGATGTGAGTGGTCATATCCTTTCATTATTTGAGTATCCTCTGTAACCCCCAGAGGACTTTAAGACTTTAAAAATGAAAAACACCAAGTCATACAAACCCCTCAAAAAACCTAAATCCTCTCCTGCCCGAGACCTGGAACATCTGGAATAAAAACAGGGGAAACCCTCTTCCTGTTGGATGACTAGTTTCCTGGTGACGACATCACCATCACTAAGGGCCCTGTAAACATCTCGACTTTCCTCAGCACAAACCTTAGAATATTTATTACGTTTGGACCTCAACTGTTAATGGCTCCCCTCGGCTCTACAAAAGTCATAAGTTAGTCCCAAAAACCTGATTCACTTTGGTTCGGAAAGAAAACTCAATCAGGAAAGTTTGTGTAACGGATGAATAATAAGTACCTTCATTATGAAATTTAACAACCTGGGAGTTGTGGAAACATTAAAAAATAACCACTTATGACACAGAAACTGATGGAAATAAGATTCAGAAAATATTGTAGATTTAGAGAGGCACGGGGGGGAGAGAGAAGATCAATCTGAAGACACAAAATGAACGAGGGTGGGAGGGAGAATACGTGACAGGGGACAATACTATACTATTCTAATTTATATATAAGAATATTAATGATCTATATTATTATATGGTAAATGAACTTAAATGTAAATGTGATGTCCCAGGTTCAGACAGGGCAGCCAAACACTCACCAGCAGCATGGCCTGTTCATGGAGCAGCTGCTGCTGCAGGATCTCCAGGTGCCTCTGCTCCTCCTCCAACTGACGACGGATGTACTCCTGTCAATCAAACGCAGCCCAGTCCGCCCCCATTAGTTCAGTCTCAGACAATTCTATATATTTCCATTTCCACATCTTAATTATGAGGTAGGTCTGCAAACTGTAGTGGAACACACAAACAATAAGCAGCCCCTCTAGTGTTTCATGCTCTTGTGATTACGAGAATGAACACAAATTCAACCACTTTATGAGCCAAAGCCAAATAAAAATCAAGCTTTAAACTTCATGGTGGAAAATGTCATTCCTGAACTCTAAAAGATTGGTAGGCAAATTTAGATTTCTAAAGATGAATTTCTAAAACTACCACAGTTTTTTAGAGGGGAAGTTGTTAAAAAGTAGGTAAATTAGGGCAATAAAATAAATACAATAATAAAATAACCTAATTATGACTTTAAAAAACTTATATTGAATATATTGAAATGGTTTCCTTTAAAGGTAGACAAATCAAAAACCATCACTTTACTTAAACATATGTTGGATTCTGGCCCGTACCTGTTCTCGGTCAGCCCTCCTCTTTTCCTCCTCGGCCCTCCTGCGCTCTTCCTCCTCTTTGCGGCGTCGCTCCATCTCCTCAACGCGCCTCTTCTCCTCCTGCTCGCGTCGGCGCTGCTCGCGCTCCTGCTGCCTCCTCATCTCGCGCTCACGCCGTTGTTGCTGCGGGAGGACATGGGAGGCCAGTTAATAGAGGAACCTGTTCATGTCCCCTGACTGTGTCCTAGTTCTGATTTGTGTCTAGTCATATGTGACTCAGCGCTCGTGTTTTCCAATCAGTGTGGAACCACATATAAGTGGTACAAAATCAGATCCTGAGTGGTGTGACCTACATGCAACTTCTGTCAGAACACAGCTGATGTGTTTTTGCTAAAGGTAAATCTTCCATCACTCATCTAATACTTGTCTTTCATGCAGCATTAGTAAAAAGTCATACAGCAGAATAGTAGCTGACCCATTGTGTGTCTGTGATATTGTATCCTGAAATACTATTGATTATGATTAACTCCATTTACAGAACATATCGTTTTAAAGAGTCAGGCCGAAAAGGATGTGAAAAGAAAATAACTACAATGACAGACTGAGATTCATCCAAATGAATCCATTCTGGCGGCCCTTGTGGACAAAAGGGGTTTCTACCGCCTCGTTTTGTTGGTTTACAGAGAAGTCTGAAACCTGACCCGGTGGCAGGCATTAATCACTATATAGAAATAGTCTTCTCGCTGATGGTCTTGTTTGTTTATGTAGGTCATATAGAGGCATCAGTTTTAAACTGGGACTGTTTCATAATCAGTTAAAAACTTCTTGTAGTAGTTTTGAGACCATTTTTGCAAAAAAAAAAACTAAAACAACAACACTGGTTCCAGTGAAACAAACCAGAATGTAATCAATAATCGACAGCAAATATTTGCCAAAATATATATTTCAGTTCATATTTAGTTCACATAGTAAATAGAATATTTTTTAATGTTGAGCAAAACAGGCTTTGAAGATGTCACCTGGGGCATATTTCACTATTTTCTTACATTTTACAGTAAAAAAAGTAAAAAAAAAATGAATCAAGAATATAATCAGTAGATTAATAGATAAAGAAAATTATTATTAGGTGCAGTCCTACACTGATTTGAAAGATAATAGGATCAAAGCAGTGGGGCATATAGATTTATTTTGAGGGCTGTATTCTGATTTTTAAAAATGCAGAACATTCAAGGCCCTCTGTTTAAGGCTATGGGCCGCCCTGGTAGCTCACCTGGTACCACATATCAAGGCTGAGTACTTACGGCAGTGGCCCGGTTTCGAATCCGGCCCAGGCCTTATATTGCATGGCAGTTCCTCTCTCTCCCCTGCCTTTCCTTTCTGTCTCTACTGTCACTATCCAAAAAAATAAAGCGAAATATACAGAAACCTGTGTTTACCTGTGTGAGTGGAGAGAATATAAATAAATACAGACGGCGGATGAGCTGAAGTGACAGGATGAAGCTGAAATGTCGACATTTCAAGCACTGCGTTAAGACTTAATCATTTAATCAGAGTAATATCTTAAGTCTGACAGGCAGTTATCTAATACGTGGCTCTCTAGGCAGACAGATGATGAAATTACACTGACTTCTGTCTGTCAGTGTGTCATGAAAAGGTGCAGTGAAAGCTGCAGGACATCAGTTTTGGTCATGTTTGTACACACTCAGCATTCAGGATTCCACAGGAGGTAATCCATGGAAACAGGAGAGCACATGTACAGTGGTATTTTCTCTGACATGGCATGGGTTCAACTGTGGCTCTTACGGTCTGATCCATCTACAAGCACCGTCATGAATCAAAAACACAGCCTGGAGTTGTGTCTGATGTGGGAAAACATGAGCACAAATAAAACTTTTTACCCTCTCTTGCCACAGAAACCTTGCACCTCTGAGGTGTTTACATGCTCAAACCTCAATTTATATGCTCTACTTCTATTCATTCCTTCGTTAGTTTATCCCTCTTGTAGTATTTAGGTCTCTCTCTCTCTTCCTTTTCTTCCAGTGAATTAAGTTCAGTCCACTACTGTCCAAATTTATAATCTTCTCTTTGCAACAGCCCTCCCTCTTCTATCCCTTTACATTGCTCTCTCTGCTTTAAGAGAAGTGAGGAGGAGAAGCAGCCACGCACACAGACACTAATAGAAAAGAAACACAGCTCAAAGAGATAAAGGATAATTACAAAAAGGGTTTTCAAACTCATCCTCTGTGGACGCCAATTAATTTTTTTTCCCCAAAGCAGCCTAAATTTGATTTTGAAATCTATTATATAAAATTATCCAGCAAAAAATCTAACCACTAACCTCCAGGTCAAAAGTCTCTAATCTTATTACACAGAGATAATGTACCTGACACATTGGTAAATCCCTCCTGGCTGACACACTATCAGCGGCTGCACAATCAGTCTGAAGTGTTTGAGTTTGGGTCTGTTTTGATCATTTTAAACTACATGAGTTGTGTAAAGTAATTGTAGGCACTGTCCGTACATACAGCACGCACAGTGAGTTTATTTTTCCCCGTTGCCTGTATTTAATAAGCTTTTTATTCAGCAATTTATCAAGTGCAATAACCTGCACCAGCATTTATCAGAGCTTAAGTACTGTAGCTTGTAATACATCCATAACACATTCCATCTTCTCTAATGTAGTTCATATTTCATGCATCAGTTAACATGTATAAGCCTGTCGGTGGTTAAAATGTGACGAATGCACAACTTCATTTGAAGTTTCTCAGTGTTGTAAAATGGGGATGTCACTCACTCTGCTGCTTGTGGAGGATGCGTGCAGGAGGTTTCATAAATAACACAAGTCCTTCTCAGAAACAGGAGTATTTTTAGTCCTATTCTAACTTTCAATGGAACTCCTGGGAGGGATGCTGTGATGCTTGATAAATTATAAATATACTTAAGATACGGTTTTCAATTAAACATGTGCGTGTCCAAACAAAGTTAAATTTTTTTAAAACCTGGACTGTGTAAGCTTACTATTTTTTGCCCTCTCCTTTACAAAGCTCTTATGGATGCACTCACACTGAGCTATGACAGGTCATTTCTGAGGCCTGCGTGCTTACCTCCTCCAGCCGTCTCCTCTGCTCCTTCTGCTGCTCGATACGTTTCTGCCTCTCAGCCAGTAGTTGGCGCTTGTACTCCTCCTGCTCGCGGAGCTGCTGCTCCTGGAGGAGCTGCTGACGACGCAGCGCCTCCGAGCGCTCCTTGTTCTCCTGCTGCAGTCGGATGAAGTCTCGGCGCAACGTCGACTCACCCGGCACGTTGACTATGGAGCTATACGGAGGATGCAATGAGAGGATTGAGCTGGTGTGTTAGTGCTAATTCAATTAAAGGTTTTCCACTTCATATACTGTTTCATATGTGTGACAATATACACCTACCTTGGCTCTCCTTCTTGCTCCGATGCCTCTTCCTCCTCTTCTTCGCTGCCACTGTATTCATACTCCGTCTCATCTGGGGATAGTAAGGAAAAGTCATTAGAATGTTAAATTTAAATGGTGGAACCGTGTTAACTTTGAACAAAAGGAAGTTTCAGTTTCACAGCGGTTATACAACCACACAGTCCCTCTGGGACTCACCCTTCTCGCCCCTCTTCTTCTTGGTTCGGTCGATGTGGTCTTTGAGCTGGATGCGGACCTGCCTCTCATTGGGCTGGTCCCGGATGAAGGGGTGTTTCAGCAGCTGCTCAGTGGGGGGACGCTGGGTGTAATTCTTCACCAGGCAGCCCTCAATGAAGCTGAAGAACTTCTTCGACCTATTAGATTAACGTTAAATGTGACATTTGGACATTACATTTTCAGCCATTTATCTATGTATCTACTTGTTAGTATGAGAGAGGATTTTCACAGAGAGGATGAAGATTAAAAATGTAGCCCACCATTTTTTGGACTTGAGTCGAGGGGGAGGGTTTCTGGGGATGAGGAAGAGGGCTCTCATTGGATGCATGTCGCACAGAGCTGGAGGAAATGAAAAAAGAGAAGTAGGTGAGAGAAAAGCCAAAAGCACACGTCCAAGTCATACATTTTAGCCTCAGTCTCTGCTTGTTTAAAGAGGTCTCTTAGTCCTTCCACTATCTGCCATTGCTAGAAACTCTACAATCTTTAGCTTAATTTGGTGACTGTAGAAAAACTGCACCATAACATTAATAATACAAATTTCTGAAAACTTCTATTTCAATGATTTAACATTTTGAAAATGCAAAACAAAGCACCATTAAGTTAACATGTACTTACGGGGAGCTCCCTCAGCCATCTCTATGGCCGTGATTCCACAGGACCACAGGTCACTCTGAAGGACAGAATGAGTCAAATGAGTCTGTGTGCATGTTCTTCTAATTTATACATGTCTATTCCTACAAAGGAGAAGTAGATGTGTCATATGAAAGATAGCAGTGGTTCTCAAACTTTTTAGGGTTATGGTTAGAAATGTAGCAATTTCAGCTCTTTAAAGAACCCACTTGGAGAATGTTAAACTCTGATACGAAACTGTGATTTCTGACTCTTTCTCAGGCTATTTTACAGCAATATTTGTTTCCAGAGATAATCCACAAACTACTTTCTGCAGAAGGTACGCCTACCACAACCTAAAAACCTTTCAACTCCAGTGAGTAGGAAGTTGGGAGTGGCAGCAGAAGTCTCAAGTGCAAAAAAACTCCAAACTCCACTGGCCATTTAGTTACGTACAGACTACAGATACATACAGTACATGCAAAATTCCAAAAGTGTTTGGGTCTGGATCTTGGTCCTGAACAAGTGGTTGAAAACTGCAGCAGTGATGGGGAGATTGAGGGGATTTTATTTTATGTATTCTATATTTTTCCTACTTTGTCACTTTCACCTTGATAAGTTGTCTGAAAATCTATTACAGTCCACTCCCTGATATACTGTAAAACAACAGATCCAGTTTCTGTTCAATTCAGATCCAGATCAAGTTCCTTACCCTGTAGTCGTAGGTAGCATCTGGATTTTCATCACAAGCGATGACCTCTGGAGCCATCCAATATGGCGTCCCAATGAAGGTGTTTCTTCGCCCTACTGTCCGGTCCAGCTGAGCACTCACACCGAAGTCCACTGGGAAATACAAAGTTAAGAGAAATTATTACTGGTTCAAACCACTTTCATCAACAGAATCATTTCTATAACGTATCTGAGTGTCACACGTTGACATTTTTGGACAGATACAATTAAAAATGCTTGTTTGGGAACACAACTTGTGGATCATTCATCTTGTTCGAATTTTTAAACACATCCCCTGTTGAAACTACTGAGTGAGAAATGTAAAAATGTGATTAAAACAGTTCAGATCCTCTGTGAAGGCAGATTAACATTGTCAGCTGGGTCACTTAAATTTCAGCCTTTGAGCTGAACAAATTCAGTCTCTTGCCCTTGGAACCATGTTAATTAAAATTTGACTTGTTCTCTTGTCACGTTCGAGTCCACAGTCTATGTTGGGTCCTGACTCAAGAGTGTAAAGGTCAAGGACATGTGGTTTATACTGCATATCACAGGACAGCAATAAAGAGGCCACAAAGAGTAATTTGATTACAAATAGTAATCCAATCATAGATATTTAAAGAAATAAAAACAAGGTTTGGAAAATTCAGACAAATGTTCCCAAACTAAAACAAATTGTTGACCGTGTTTTTTCTGGATAGTATAGTTTTGCTCATCGATGGTAAATTTCCTGGTAAGAAAAAACAATCTTATCTTACTATGAGAGCCAGAAAAATGGTGACAGTGTGGATGAGATCAACACAACATACAGGGTTTCTGCAGGGTTCATCAAGTTCAATTAAAGACCTTTTTAATACACACCATACTGAGCTAAAGTATGAAAGCATGATGGAAAACCAGTAGGAACAATATGGCCTAAAATGATTTATTATTCAATTATATTTTTCATTTACTTTCCAGCAGTATATAATAATAATTCCTTATAATAAAATCAATGATATGAACCGAATAAGCAGCAGAAAATTGATACATGGATTAACCAATAAAGAAACTAAACTATTAATTAAGCTTTTGCTAAAATCAGCACTTGACTGAGCTACCTAGCGACTGTAGGGATATGTAGGGATAATGCTTGCTATTGGTCCGATGGCTGACGGAAACAAACACAGGACTGAACATCCCCCTGCACACACAGTCCACTGTCACAACAATCAAAACACTTTTAGTTTATAGTTGTGTAACGTGTCCAAACAGTCTGCAATCAGTACAACAGGCAAGAGAGAAAAGATTTTCTAATTTACTTTTATAAATTAAATACTTTTTTTTTTAACACATTCCAATTACCCTCCTCATTAAATTAATCTCAGTTTAATGATTTATGATTTTTTTCAGTGTTAGATTTAGTTTTTTATTATAACATGGGGGTGTTTATGAGGGCAAGATTTAAGAAATTCAGAATGGGTATTACTTATGATATATTATTATTATTACAATACAAACACATTGAGTCACAGTTATGTTGACATCCCAGTCTGAATGAAAATATGCACCACTGCCTCCTAATGCTTGTTGTGTTGACTAATTTGATAAAAAAAAAAAACTAAAGACACTTCCTTTATATTTTTATTTTAGTTAGCTGTGGTACAAAATCGTTTGTTAGTTTTTATTTTATTTCAGGTAAATAAAATAGTTTTTAACAACTAGTTTTAATTTTTAATTTAGTTTTAGTTAACTATAATAACCTTGCTCACAACTTGGTCAGTTGGCAAAAACAGCAACTTCTCACACAGAAACCAGCTAGCAGGAACACGATTAATAAAGAAAATGAAAGTGAAATCCCTATAAAGTCTTTTTATTAGTCTAGATTAGAGGAGCCAGATCCTGAGTCTAATAATTTAACCCATAAGTCATGATTTCCTTTAGTAAAATAGCCTAACAAGTTTATCATGAGGCAAAACCAAGGCTAGGCAAACCATGAAGAGTGTTCAGAAATGAGGCGAAAGGTGGCGTGTTTTGACCGCTGGTTTCCACCTGCCAGCTGGTGTACCTGTCTCAAATCAGGTTAAAGTGTTTCTGCTCACTGACAGACAGGCAGGGAGAGGCATGTGAGGACACACACGCTGCAGCCTTCTCCACCTGTCTAATCGTCGTCCTTTGTTTGATGGGCATGCTGTGTGATAATATTTTTTTACTGTACCAGAATGAATGCAATCGCGAAAGATAGTTTACAGAACTCCTTAATACCCAGAACATTTAAAGTACTTCACTTTGCTTATTTTAGTAGTGGTTCATATCAGCTTTGATTGTATGTTTCAGTACCGGTTATTTAATGCTGGCTAATATTCAGAGAAAGGCATGAACAGAGAACTTATCTAGCTATGAATGAAGAGTGTACAACTAAACGGTAGTATTTTCTTTTCCATACATTAATAAAAGAGGAGTTAACAAAGGATTTGTTGGTGATTGTTTTTAGTGCAAATTGAAACACGTGTTTTGTTTTGTTTTTTTAAATGGGTCGGCACTGGGACAATGTATGTGGGACAAACTCAAATTTCAGTGTCCATGGAGTGCAACAGTGAGGCTTATTAATGTGTTTTATTGGTGTCTTGACAACAATGGAGCGCTATGGCACAGAGGAATAAGATAAATCAGGATTTGGCTACACAGGGACTGTTAGTAGTATAAATTACTTGCTGGTTTTGGTCTTTTCATGGGAATTACTTACAATTAGAAAAATACAGAACATCACCAGCCTTATACTTATACCAAAGGATTTCACTGGGTAGAAAAAAGCTGCCACTTAATTTATGGAAACTCCTGTTACTATCAACTTGTGATGGCCAAATTATAGATATATGCATAATTTCACAGTAGTGAGACTTTGCACTTTGTTTAATAACAGTTTATTTGCAAAAAGCGTTTCCATGGTGACCTGCTAGAATGTGTAACATCAAGCATGGAGTTCAGTTCTAAACAATCTGTGACTCAACAATCAGAATTCTGCTCTAGACCTCACACACTCACTTTCATCCTGAACACACACTGTTCACTTGTGGCAAGAGCATCGGCCGTGTTTGACTACTCTCAAGTCTATCGTTGAACTTTCACTTGTTTCTTTGACTGTTGTTCTGTATTGTGATATACAACAACAAAATATAAATGGAGTTTCTTGAAGGAAGCCTTGAGGAGAACCCAGAACCCACCACAGAACTAGATTCTGTTGCGGTTACAGCTCCTTCGACACCCCCTGCTGAACCTCCAAACATTGAGGATGGCGGTAGAAAGCCCAGCCTTGAGGCGAACTCAGTACCCACCATAGAACTAGATTCTGTTGCGGTAGCAGTTCCTTCGAAACCCCTGCTGAACCTCCAATCATTAAGGTTCAGGCCAGGACGGATGGCAATGGAAACACCAGCCTTGAGGAGAACCCAGAACTTACCAGAGAACATGACTCTGCTATGATTACAACTCCTTCGACGCCACCTGCTGAACCTTTAACCATTAAGGTTCAGGCCAGGGCAGATAGCGGTGGAAAGCCCAGCCTTATGGAGAACCCAGAACCCACCATAGAACTAGATTCTGCTGCAGTTACAGCTCCTTCGACACCCCCTGCTGAACCTCCAACCGTTGAGGTACAGGCCAGGAAGAGTGGCAGTGGAAAGCCCAGCCTTGAGGAGAACCCAGAACCCACCACAGAACTAGATTCGGTTGCGGTTACAGCTCCTTCAACGCCCCCTGCCGAACATCCAACCATTGAGGTTCAGGCCAGGGAGGATGGCGGTGGAAAGCCCAGCCTTGAGGAGAACTCAGAACCCACCATAGAACTAGAATCTGCTATGATTACAACTCCTTCGACGCCCCCTGCTGAACCTTTAACTATTGAGGTTCAGGCCAGGACGGATGGCAATGTAAACATCAGCCTTAAGGAGAACCCAGAACTCACTAGAGAACTAGATTCTGTTGCGGTTACAGCTCCTTTGACACCCCCTGCCGAACCTCCAATCATTGAGGTTGAGGCCAGGAAGGGTGGCAGTGGAAAGCCCAGCCTTGAGGAGAACCCAGAACCCACCACAGAACTAGATTATGTTGCGGTTACAGCTCCTTCGACGCCCCCTGCTGAACCTTTAACCATTGAGGTTCAGGTCAGGAAGGGTGGCAGTGGTAAGCCCAGCCTTGAGGAGAACTCAGAACCAACCATAGAACTAGATTCTGCTACGGTTACAGCTCCTTCGACACCCCCTGCCGAACCTCCAATCATTGAGGTTGAGGCCAGGAAGGATGGCAGTGGAAAGCCCAGCCTTGAGGAGAACCCAGAACCCACCACAGAACTAGATTCTGCTGCAGTTACAGCTCCTTCGACACCCCCTGCTGAACCTCCAACCATTGAGGTTCAGGCCAGGAAGGGTGGCAGTGGAAAGCCCAGCCTTGAGGATAACTCAGAACCCACCATAGAACTAGAATCTGCTATGATTACAACTCCTTCGACGCCACCTGCTGAACCTTTAACTATTGAGGTTCAGGCCAGGAAGGGTGGCAGTGGTAAGCCCAGCCTTGAGGAGAACTCAGAACCCACCATAGAACTAGATTCTGCTGCAGTTACAGCTCCTTTGACACCCCCTGCTAAACCTCCAACCATTGAGGTTCAGGCCAGGGAGGATGGCAGTGGAAAGCCCAGCCTTGAGGAGAACCCAGAACCCACCACAGAACTAGATTATGTTGCGGTTACAGCTCCTTCGACGCCCCCTGCTGAACCTTTAACCATTGAGGTTCAGGTCAGGAAGGGTGGCAGTGGTAAGCCCAGCCTTGAGGAGAACTCAGAACCAACCATAGAACTAGATTCTGCTACGGTTACAGCTCCTTCGACACCCCCTGCCGAACCTCCAATCATTGAGGTTGAGGCCAGGAAGGATGGCAGTGGAAAGCCCAGCCTTGAGGAGAACTCAGAACCCACTATAGAACTAGATTCTGTTGCGGTTACAGCTCCTTGACACCCCCTGCCGAACCTCCAATCATTGAGGTTGAGGCCAGGAAGGATGGCAGTGGAAAGCCCAGCCTTGAGGAGAACTCAGAACCCACTATAGAACTAGATTCTGTTGCGGTTACAGCTCCTTGACACCCCCTGCCGAACCTCCAACCATTGAGGTTCAGGCCAGGGAGGATGGCGGTGGAAAGCCCAGGCTTGAGGAGAACTCAGAACCCACCATAGAACTAGATTCTGCTGCAGTTACAGCTCCTTCGACATCCCGTGCTGAACCTCCAACCGTTGAGGTTCAGGCCAGGAAGGGTGGAAGTGGAAAGCCCAGCCTTGAGGAGAACCCAGAACCCGCCACAGAACTAGATTCTGCTGCAGTTACAGATCCTTCGACACCCCGTGCTGAACCTCCAACCATTGAGGTTCAGGCCAGGAAGGGTGGCAGTGGAAAGCCCAGCCTTTTGGAGAACCCAGAACCCACTAGACATAGATTTTGTTGCGGTTACAGCTCCTTCAACGCCCCCTGCCGAACCTCCAACCATTGAGGTTCAAGCCAGGGAGGATGGCAGTGGAAAGCCCAGCCTTGAGGAGAACCCAGAACCCACCATAGAACTAGATTCTGTTGCGGTAACAGCTGCTATGCATACATACATATGAATATTGTTTCATTCACAATTTAATACTCAGGTGTAAATGTAATACTATACATTGTAGTAAGGGTTTTTTGTTGTTAATTGTTTCTCCTTTTAATTACGATCTACTAGTAAATATAGTAATACCACAAAGCAAAACAATTAAATTGTAAAAAGTAAAGATTCTATATTCAAAATCTTACTTAAGTAACGTTAAACCAGCTGACCAGCTGTGCAACAACTACACTCTACTTTCAGTAAATGGAATTCATTAAATGGAGGTGTACAAACTAAATATTGCCTTTATTCTCCAAAATATTAGTGGAAAAATTGGAAATTATTAGGAAATGATTCTGAAATGTTATTCTTGTAAAACAGTGTACAAACATACTTTTTAGTGTATGGTTTTAAAAAAGTATTTCTATAGAAATAAAACAAGAGGGACAAGAAGAAGAGCAAGAAGATGAGGAAGCAAAAGAGGAAAAAGAAGAAGCAGAGTTAAGTTAAGTCAGGTTGGGATATTCATATAAAATGTAAAGACTAAATCTGGCTTAGACAGCCCTCATCTGGGAAAAATCTTTAATTTAATTTTCATATATTAATATGCTGTCTGGAATCCAAGGCCACATCAGATGTGAAGAGGATATTGTGGTCTGATTGGTCTTGTGGGCTCTTGGGTAGTATGATAACTTATTATACCACTTAAATTATACCAAAATAAATTACAGCATAAAATTGGCCCAGAAAATCAGGCACAGTCTGATCGCTGAGTAAGTACACACAAGTATGACTCTGAGCAGACAGTTGATGCCAGCCTTCAGTGCTTGTTTTTGATATTCGGTAAATTTTATGGCCAGCTCTAGCAGTCACATTGCATTGGTTTACAATTAAAAAGCTGGCTTAATTAGTTTTTTGTTGTAACAGACAGACAGTAAGATACAGTTAATACCCTCTGTCTCTTTAGCATCATTGCCTAAATTGTTACTTTGAAAGTTGGTGTGGTTCAGGGGGCAGGATCATTTGCAACATGATCATCAAAAGATATCTACATTTATTTTCTACTAAAACTGAGTGAATGCAAAACTGTGCCCGAAAATAAATGTCCCACAAGGATTTGCATTACCGGGTACAAGCCTACAACTGTGCAATCATGTGAAACATTACAAAACAAGACCGGTGATGAAAAAGCTCTAGTTGCCACTAGCAGGGTGCTGACTCAAATCTGGTGCTGCAGTATTTTGTCAGTGCAGATGTCCAAACCTCAGCACAGGCCCAGTCTGGACCCACAATTCAATCAAAATAAAATCAACACATACCCAGTTTGACTTCAGCGTTTTCAGTCAGCAGCACGTTTTGTCCCTTGATGTCACGGTGGATGACATGATGAGCGTGTAGGTGAGCTAATCCCTATAGAAAGACAAGAAAAAAATGACATATTAATATATTACATGCAGTATACTTGCAACAGCCTTTGCTAAAAATACTTGTTTGAGTTTCCTAATATAGTCTATTGGACACTGAATAGGAATTGTCATGGAAATGCTGTGACAGGGGGACTGACCCTGAGGATCTCTCGGGAGATGTAGGCGATCCAGTCCTCCTTCAAAGTGTTGCCTTTGGTGTTCTTCACCAGATCTGTGATGGAGCCGGCACCGCAGAACTCCATAACCAGCTGGAGGAGAGAACAGGAGATAGTTGGAAGACTGTGCACATTTACAGCAACCGTTATTCTGCCAGGTACTGAGACCATCTGCGAAAGGTGCTACACGCAGCGTTCTACCATTATCACATTAACTCACATACAACTACCCTTAACAAATCACTGAGAAATGAAAATTGTCAGTCTTAGGATGGGAGACTGGAAGCAATGGGCTGATGGGAAATGTGGTCTTAATACGATGAAACATGTAACGTCCTCATCAATATTTTTCAATAACATTCATATATAAATAGGCTATTGATGGATGGTTAAAATCAATATCATAATATCATATAAAGTAATCAAAAAGATGTTTAAAGTCCGCCTCCAAATCTGTTTTTTCTTCTTGTTCCTATAGTTGGATGTTTGAGCTTCACTGTTAGAATGATGTCTGTGCAGAGTTTGACACTAGAAGGATGTTTTCACATTCATGTGCTAAAAGTGGAAAGTTTCTCTGAGCTCACGAAACATATGATTTTAAGGGGCGGGGCCTACGAGCATGATTTATGACATATCAACTAGTGTGGAGGTCAGTCCTGGTCCAGTATGCAACTTGTACAGTGTGATGTAGAAACTTGAAGCTACCAGTGCACATCCACTGAGAATGGACTTTACAGTGAAGGAGGAGACATCTTGTGTCCAGCAGCAAAACTTTAGAAATTAACTAAATTGGATATTATGAATATTAATATTCACAGATTAAGGTAGTAGATAGCTTTTTATGGATTTTAATGTGGAAATTATACTTTTTTTGCATATCAGACACACATTGTTCAAAGCAGACTGTTTGTATACATGTCTGAATAATAGTTTCAGGACATATATAAATAATTAGCTTTGCATTTTTAATGTCTGTGCTCAATTACTGTGTTAAAAACTCTACATCTACTCCTTCTCCATCTTTAAAAAAATTCAGAACCTATGAATCTGCAAATATTCTTAATTAGAAAACTTTAACTGCTCAAAAAAACCTAACTCCTACTTCACTGAAAAGTCCATTCTCAGTGTATGGTGTGCTGGAGGCTTCAAGTTTCTACATCATACATGCAAAAGAAATCATGCTCATACATGCATGTCTTAAATTCAGATTTAACATGAGCACAGAGAATCTTCCCCCTTCAGCAGATAAATGTGAAAGCATCCTTCTGGTGTCAAACTCATTCTGCACAGTGGAGCTCGAACATCCAAGTGAAGTTCAAATAAACAAAACACATTTGACTGCAAGGGGACTTTAAATCCAGTGAACTGTGTATGCATCACACATGAAAACCCTTCTGTTTTATTTGCTTTTATCTACAATTTGTTTTGATTAATTGATTTTGTATAAGAACACATAATCAGCATGACAAATATTACACTTAAAGTCAATAAACAAAAATACTTAATCAGGCCTATCTAACATAGGGCGGTAAAGTGTATTCTGAGGTGGACAAAATTGTGCCAACACAAAGTTTATGTTTCTAGGGGGAAAAAGAATATAAATAAATCCTATTTAGATTTTGATTGCGGGCAAGTGGTCTTGATAGAAGTAGAACAATCTGATGTAATTTGCTGAGTAATCCCAAACTGGTTGTGGATTGTGTCTTACATGTTGACCCACGGATACATGCCTTACAAACACACAATCTGGTCTCCTTCAGCAGACAGTCTTTAGTGACGTTCAATGCAAAATATGACACATATACTCTCTCACACACACAAACACAGCAGACAGCGTGAAGCCGTGGCAGTGGGGGCTGTAAAGGGTCGCGGAGACAGCTGTAAAAACAAATACAGGGCTGTGCTGTGGGGTGAGAGTGATATCTTCCCTCTCTAGGAACAGCAGCGCCGCAGGCTCATAAAACGAGGTAATCCTGCCTTCAACAAACCGAGCAGCTATAAATCTCTCCCGCTGCTGCTCTTCTCCTCCTCCTGTTTTTTTTCCCTCTCTGATTAACTCCCTTTTGTTTCTCATTTTGCTTCATTTGTTTTATTCATTTCCTCTGCACCGTTTCTCTTTTCTTTGATTTGTTGTGTTTTTGTATTGCTCTCTTCTCTCCTGCCTTTTGGGCCAGCAGGGGCTTTAATGTTGGGGAAAAATACATTTATGTTGTGTTATTGTTTGCAAGTAATAAAGTGTGTGAACAGATGTGCAAACAGTAACTCTGTATACAGACCCAATATAGCCACACCAATCTGGATTTGGAGAGACTGTTGAGAGCCGACCTGTAATCTCTGCAGCCGCAGTCCAGTGACTAACTACAAATAACTTCTAGGTGTTGTATATCAGGAAACACCTAATTAATTCATTCCTGTTTTTTAGAAATCACACAATAAATCTGATCAATATGACAATCTAAATATCCAAACATCTATTCTTACATAAACCAATAGTCATGTAAATTCAATTAAATTGAACAAATAGTTATTTTAGTAACATTAGTAACGTATTCAGCTTCGTAAGGGGCTATTTCTTGGATCTGCCAAGTGACCTAAATCCATGTAAGGTAATTGATAGCTTTGTAGTTATCTTGTTAACGCTTACCACCTAAAACATCAAGTAAAATATGCCTTAGCTAGCTAAAGTGTGATGGTTTGATGGACATTAGGACTCATATGCACTGATACATCAGGACTGGCTACCAAAACAAAGAACAGAGGGAGTGCGACTTCATTCTCTCTACAGGACGTCCTATAGTAGTTTGTTGCTATACTAATAATATTTAAAATCGTAAACATATTATAGTTGTCACAAAGTCCTGAACAATCTTCTGGATAGGTCAAAGACCCCCTCCTGACATGTATTAAGACATATTGTCTGCTTGGAACAATAATGTGTGTGCCAAAAAAACTACTCCTTACTACCTACTTCACTGTAAAGTCCATTTTCAGTATATTTATCCCATAAAAACTTTGTTAAGTTAATTTCTAGCACAAACCAGAAAGAAGATGTTTTGTCCAGGAGCAGTACTTGTTGGTTGCTGCCATTTTTCTATAAATTATCTTATTTGACTTGATTTTTCTTTGTTTTCTGTAGCTTTTAGAATATAATAAAAAATAAGTCCTGCTCCACTCAAAGATCAGTTTTTAGTGTTGTAGTAGTAGTGTGATGTTTGAGCCTCACTGTGCAGAATGATGTCTGTGCAGAGTTTGACACTAGAAGGATGTTTTCACATTCATCTGCTGAAAGAGGAAAGTTTCTCTGAGCTCATTGAAAATCAGATTTTACAAGCATAATTTGTGACATCACAAGTCAGTCCTGGTCCAGTATGCAACTTACAACTTACTACAAGTGTGATGTAGAAACTTGAAGCTACCATATACAAATACACTGGGAATGGACTTTACAGTGAAGTAGGTAATAAGTAGTAGTACTTTTTTGGCACACACATTATTGTTCCAAGCAGACTATTTGTATATATGTCTTAATACATGTGGAGGGGATCTTTGAGCTATCCAGAAGTTGTGATTGCTCAGGACCTTGTGACAGCTATAATAAGTTTTAGGCTAATTTAACTTACAGCGCCTCACTGTCAAGACATGACATCATTATTAATGGTAGGAATAAACTCACCCATAGCTGGTCGTCATGGCCTGGAGGACTTTTCTTGATGAAGGCTCCATAGTAGGTTGCTATGTTTCTGTGGTGGGAGTACTTCTTCAGCATGTTAATTTCCAGCTTAATTTCCTCCTCTTCATCCTATGAGAGAGGGAGAGAGAGACCCATCAGTATGAAGTTAATACATTATTATTGTCTGTCAGATGGTGAGGAAGCAATTATGAACTGATGGACTAGATCAAAACAAACAATACAAGTCTATTTTCTGGTCAGGTTGTTAAGACTGGAGGGAAAGGGTTAACAGCAGTTTCAATTGAGTTTTCATGATCAGCTCACCTAGAAAGATGGTGTAACTATATTTTTTCTTCAGCTGTTCTGCTTTTATGTTTACTTGTCACATGTCTGCCAGTGAAGTGTTGCTCTCAGTTCTCCTACGAGTCTTTTAAAATCAACATGCATTTTTCATCTTTATTGGTTTTACACACTTTGCTTACTCTAGTGAGCTTTAATTCAAGTCAGAACATTCCTACACACAGAGTTTGGGAAATATCAGGTCCCTTTGGCCTGTTGTTGAAAAGGGGTTTCTGTCCTGCTTATAAACTGCAAACAGTTTCCGTTCAGACATCGAAGAACTCAGACACAAACTCCAATAAAACATTGAATTATCTGCATATAATAAAGCTAATAAAAACACATGTCCCCTGTGGACAAAAGCCTAAGTGTTTCCACCTCTTCCTTTCATTGATTTCAAGGGGAATCCGACCCAAACTGGGCTAGTGGCAGGGAGAGGATGGTCTTATTTATTTATGTAAGCCATATAGAGGCATCTGTATTAAACTGAGATAAACTGTTTCATAACCATTTAAAAACTTTGTAACGTTTTAGTATATATGTTCTTCCACCAGCTCTCAGCTGAGTGGTAAAAACGACAAACATCTTACGGTTCCAACTTGGCAAATGGATTTTGTACTTTTCTCTCCTTTTGGAAATTGTGATGGGCATTTTAACTATTTTCGGACTTAGATTAAGCAATTAATCCAATACTAAAATCAACACATTATGAGGAATTAACATTAGTTGTAACCATATATATATTTTTTGGCCTGTGTTTACCCTGAAGGTTTGCAGAGTTGAACTGTATGCTTTTACAGCACAGCCAGTGTCTTGACAGCTGGATGTCAAGCAGCTCAATAGAAGGAGAGTGGAATTTCCCCTGCTAGCATTCAAAATGGTAACCCTATTAGAGAACACATCCTAATATTTCCATCTCTTCCACTGTGTTTTCGAGGAACCAGCCAATGATTTTCACATTTCCTCCGTATAATGTTTAAATCTTTGGCCTTCCTCCCAGTGGGCCACACTTAGTCATAAAGACGGCAAAGGAAAAACATAAAACAGGTTGTTACATTAACAGAGAAAAGTAATAATTTAAACTCAAAGTCCTAGCAAACAAAGCAACAGCTCTGGAACTTTTCTCCTACGCTGTTTTCAGTCCATCTATGAAAAACATGCTGAAGAGCCGAGCAAGGAAACAAACAACGTCCAAACCATTCTAATAAACGGATATCACTCCAAACAAACATGCAGATACACAGCCTGAACTTGAAATGATAACAGAGCCCAACAAACTACCATCTCGCCCTCTCGCACACTCAGGATATTACAGTACAGACTCAGACACGCATACAGACACATAACAAGATCAAGCGATTATTTCTCAATCACTGAGGCACCACTGAGGCTGTGTGACATTTATTTGTGAGTGCTTTGCTTTAGCCGAGCCCGTGCGCCTGATCCCGCAGGCCGACCGGGGCTGACATGACATGACATTTTCACTGTTATTACGGCCGGTCGATAAGCAGGAGCGTGACAGGCGGCTGTAGCCAGGACTCCTGAGCAAACTGAGCGCTGCAGCAGCCTTGTATGTCCACAAACCAAACGCTCTGAGGAACTGAGAGATAAACTGTTTGGCTTTTCATATTGAAACTCGTGGCCTTTTGGCATTTTGTAGTACAGATAGTAGCAGCTGCTCATTCACAACTTACACTAGCGCTAGCAGGTTCTATTACAAAATGTGATTATATTTTGCTTTCTGGTTAGGTAAAGAACCAGTGTGGAGGATTAAGTGGTATCTTGTGGTGAAGTTGCAGATTGCGACCAACTGAATACCACCCGCCTTAAAAGAGTGTAGGAGAAACTAGGGTGGCTGCAAAAGTCACCAAAAAAACGTGAAAAGCCCTACTGTAGAAACATAGCAGTTCAACATGGCGGACTCCACCATACCTGCTCCCTTTGTAGATTAAAACAGCTTAATTTAAGGTAACAAAAAGACAAATACTGAGAACTACCTATGAATATTATATTAAATTTCTGCCAACAGATCCTCCAAAATGTTACACACTGGACATTTAAGACTAAAAGTCATTCTAGCAGCTAGTGAGACCATACTCTGAGATCAGAGCTCTGAACTAAATGCTAACATGCTCACAGAGACAAGCCTAACATGCTGGGGCTAAGCCTGTCATTTACCCTTATTACAGTCTTAGTTTAGCGTGCTAGTATGCTAATATTTGCTATTTAGCAATAAAGTGCAGCTGAGGCTGATGGGAATGTCTTTAGCTTTGCAGGTATTTGGTCATAAACCAAAGCATTGGACAAATTAAAATGTTAACCTGGGGCTAGAAAACAAGTCAGATGACTCATTACAATTTGTCCTGAGGGAGATGTGAATGTCTGAACTAAAAATTCAGGGCAATTCATTCAAGAAACATTTCACATTTTATTAAAAACCACAAAAGTCAGCCTCATATGGTGGGTTGAGATATTTCTGTCTGGACCACAGTGGTGGACCAACTGCCCAATAGACAGACAGACAGCCAGACATGCCGCAAGCATGGCTATAAAAATCTACATATAATCTATAACCAGCAATTTCATTACACATTAGTAAGTGCAATAGGGTTTGGGGGTCTAACAGCTAAAATGGTGGTCAAGTAAAATGCTAACTGATAATTAAACTTATAAATTTGTCTGAATTTGAAAACACTGGTTTGAAAAGAGACCTGGTCTGTAACCCTCTGGGGTTAAAGACAAGTGATCCATCTTTGTCGAGGTGTTACACAAAACTGTCAACCACCACACAACATTTTAACAGGAACACTACATTAGATGTGTTGAGCATTCATTTACACCCCAAGTGTCATACACCCTTTCTTTAGTCGTCCATCAACAAACAGCACCAGCAGCAGACACATGTACTATAAGAGAAAACATAAAGCAGAGAAACAAAAGAAATTCCAAGAACTGCTGTTTACTGGGCCAATCTTTAGACCAATCACCCACCAACCAACCCACTGTTTTAGCTGGTTTGTCCTGAAAAGGAAATACTGTTTCATGCAACGGGACAAAAACAGTTATATAAGATTGTTACAACAGAATTCAAAGTGGATGACATCAAACTGTAGAATGTTAAGTTATATAAGAGCAGTCTGAGAGGCACATTAACTACTGTTGTTAATGCAACTGTAATAAATATTTCTTCATACTGGTGAGTTAGTGCTGCTTGATAACTGCCAAGACATTATCCAGCCTTTATATTTATCACCACAGGTAGCAACCTCATTCTGTAGGAGCTGGAAAAGATTGGTGTTAAATGTTGGTGCTAGCAGAAATTAAAACACACGTCTTATCGAGCACTGCAGCTGCAGGAGCAGAAGATGACAGGCAGCCAGCGACTCCGTTGACATTTCTGAGACTGGTCCAGAGCTTAAAGGGCGATTCAGCCAAACTTTAGCATTTAAAGATGAAAGAAATCACTGTCAACTTCTGCATGTCTATAAAAAACAAATAACCTGCAGCTCAGTTTCACTATCTCTGAAACACAGAACACCCAGTAAACCTGATGTTTGGTCAACTGACAACTAAACTTATCTATGATTATTTAAACAGCAGCAATTTCTATGCTGTCAGTCATCTGGAGAGTATTTGTAAATGGTGGGGGGTTCACTTTGGAACAAAACTCTTCATATGTTCTTGTTGGATTTTACCACTAACTATTTTTTGCACTTTAAGCTGTTATTATTGTGACTGAAGTTAAACCAAGCTTGTTTTCTAATAGGATGTTAAAGTAAGCAGCGGGTTTTTTAGGAGAGCACAAGACTTTTTGTACACCACAAAAGGATGTTTGCCTGTTATTTATTTTTGCTTTAATCATCTGATGCCGTTTAAAGAGTTCAGCAGGAGTTTTGTCTGTCCCTAAAGATGATGGGGTCAGTCGGTCAGCGAGCCAGTCTGCCAATCCCTTGAGTCACAGTCAGTCAGCCAGCCAGTTGGTTACTGCTTCAGCCAGGCAGCCAGTCATTTAACCAGGCAGTTAGCCAACCAGTGAGTCAGGAAGCCAACAAACCAGAACTTTAGCCAGCCAGTCCTTCTGTTTATCCACTCATCAGCAGCAGACCATCAGTCATCAAGCCATTTGCCCAGCAGGTGAGCCAGCCAACCTTTCGGTCAACCAGTCAGTCCGTTATATATAGCACAGTTACATACAGTATTTAATCAATATCTTGGGGGGGGGGATCAAAAGGACCATGCAAGACCTTACAAGATGCTAAAAGATGTACTGAAAGTCAACCCACAGAGACAAACAGTCAACATCCCATCGCCCACAAACTGTCAGTCATGTGAACGTTTTTGGAACAAGTCAGCATAATTACAGATGCCGAGGACAGACTGGATGAGGAGAAACACAGCAGGAACGTTCTTACACATTATTCACCATGGGACATGAACAAAGGTTGAAAATAACAGCTTGAAGAGGGGAGGAATCAACTCAATTGACAAAACATAAGAATGGCTACATTCCTTTATGTTCGGGGCAGCACAGATGGTCTGGCCTTGCAATAAAACATACAGCCTTGTGGTGCACGGAAAAGAGAAAAAGGAGTGTGAAAAGGTGACTACTAGTGCATGTGGTATGCTGACAGCCAGCCAAGAAAACAAAGTGATGTCATCCATCTCAAATCACTGGAGAGAAAGAGCCATATGCTGGGCTGTGGACAGTATTGTGACACTGGATTAGAAAGCTAAAAAAATGGGCCCAGTAGGCACTTTACCGTGGAGAAAAAAAGGAGCCTGGGGAGAAA